CAGTATAAACCACGATCCACTAGAAGCGGAACATCTAGCTAGCCAATGATATCTCGCATTTGCCACCCCTGTTTTGGGTTGGCAATCAGGTCTCCGTGAGTCTTCATATGTAGTCTTTTTTCCTTACAGAGCCCTCTTCCGTCTAGAGAACTACTGCGTATGGAAAATTACTGCGTATGGAAATCATCTTTGGACTGTCAACAGCTATATTCAGTAAATTAGACTATTGTGATGATGGTTGCATGAAATCTCTTACTAAGGATAGGAAAACAAGGTTCTTTCTGGTGAAAGTTTCGCTTTGGCCTTACGACTTCATATAGGTTGTTGCGGTGTATCGTTATCAGCCTGCTGCAGGTCCTGGTCTGTCACTAGCATTGGGGCTGGATAGTAGGAGTTCTTGATAGGTCAGTCATCTTTTCATCAGAGCCATAGTTTGAGACATACTAATTGCGAGCTAAGGAAAGCCCAAAATCCCGAAGTATCCGCTGATAAAATATGTACCTGGCCCGTCTCTCGGATACGAATTCCCACGCATACATCTGCGCTGCACATCCTACTATATTCGCATGCCTTTTTCATCAGACTTGCTTTACGACGGCATTGTTTTTGCCGTATCAATTTTCGTTTCGAAGTCGTATCCTTGGACCTGGTAGCCTTGATAGCGGCCATTGAGCGCGTTGCCTTGATATCTGGGGGTAGAGAAACCTATGTAGAAAAATATAGATAGCGTGGACTCTTATAAAACTTAGGTCCGCTAATGGGAAAGGGCTCAATAAATATAAATGTTATTGTACAAAGGGGAGACATCAATTATAGAATGCAAAAAGACTACGATATTTCTCAAAGTATTACACGAAAATTGGTCCTTTAGGTGTTGAACTCATAAAGGCGGCCCCCGTAAGACTGGAAGGGCAATCACCGGTGTTATTTGCGGTCATCAAATAGGTGCGGCAACGTGAAAGCGACCGTACTTTCAACATATTGCCCGCCATCCCTTTTACGTCACAACAGCATACTTTCAGCACCAGCAAACCCTTCATGTTGATCAAAATCTTCATCAGTGCATGTACGTGATCTCAAACCGCCGGGCAAATAAACTCATCATCAGTTAACGCTGTTTCAGGGCAACAGAAAGAAGAGGTGATGCATATTAACTGGGCAAAAAGCTGGTGTAAATTTTCTTTTTAGAGGGGGGCATCATGTTGATAAACGATAAGATACAACGGTTATTTGGGAGTCGACCGAACGTGCATTGTCAACGACGCTACTAGTGCTGCAGAATAATGAGGATAGAATAATTAATAGCGTGCTAAGAGTTGTCAACGAGTGTTAAAAGGCCAATTAATGCTAGTAAAGCATGAAGGTCAACGGGCAAGAGAAGATTTACAGCCGATGATTAAACAATTGATTGTCTCAGAAATCCGACTACAAAATCGTTGAAAAGAATAAACAAACCGATTAATTTATTTATCTTTTTAATCAACGAAGTGAAAGAAGGAAGGTGTTTATTGAGTATGATTGGCTAGGGAACACTCTCCACTTTAAATGAAGCGAATTTCCTAATACTCAGGCACCCCCCAAGTCTGTTGCAAGAATTATTTCATCCTACCTACCTAGAAAAATTGTCTGGGACCATGGCATACCCACTTTTATGACATAGACTGCCCTGCTATGTCGCACTACATAGACTGCCCTGCTCGAGCCGTGGAATGTGGGCCAGCTAGGCTCTTGACCACATGTCACCGAGAACTTCCTTCGTGGTTGACCTACGCATTTAAAGCAATAAACGATTGACAGCAAGATCACCAAAATTACCCGTCAATAACTGTTGATATCCTATTTGCTCAACGTTTATCGAATTCATTAGGTGCAATGGTCACACATTTTCCAGCATGTTGGAGCCCAACCCAATTTCCACAGTATCATTCCTTAAAGGGCATCCGTTTCATATCCCCAGCGAATATGAGACCTCAAACACGTTGAATCGGGCTCACGGCCCGTCAATTCCCTCAACACCGCCACATATAATTGGGTTTGCCAGCGACCAAACACCTTAAGCTACTATACATGCTGAACTCTGACAGAGCAAGATAGTACAGGAACTCCGATTACTCTGTAGACTTCTGAAAGATGGAAAGTGGTTGGAGCAAAGACTCCCCACCACTACATGTAAGGCTAGTAGGACTACTGTACAGCTTCGGGGCGGATCATGATAAGTTCGGGGGTATTGGCTACGGTGAGGTTTTTTTCAGCCGCGAGGAAGGGCCCGGAATATTAGTTCGGCCGAAAGCCGATGTGATGAATGAGCCTCTCTCAGCAACACTCAGAGTACCACTAGTCCAAATTAGGTGCCTAAAGGAAGAACAGTTTGTTGTTGAGCCAATAATGAACTCATCTGTGGTGAAGCAATTTGACTAACTTAGAGCGGTTAGCGTTTGTCTTTACTCTGCTCAGAGTCCACATGCCGGCTCTTTCCCAGATCCTTTTCCTATACAGTAGCGCCGCAGATTGGGTACGAAGAATCCCAGCCACTGTTCTCAAAGTACTAGGATTGTATATCATGTATCGAGGATCATGCTTTTGGTCCGGGATCCGTGCTTACGCATGCGATATGCGTCGGATATCTCGACTTTGTGCTTGCGCAAATCATATTTGGAACTTCCTTTGTTATAAATATGTCCTCAATTTGATGTACGAGCGACTAAAATGGGTCATTCCTCAAGTTCAAGCTGAGGGTAGAGAATTTCGTTTTCTTGTTTCTCTTTCTTTCCGTCTCATTCTGCTAGCCACGGCCTAGACCCCATGTTTCCCAATACAGATTAGTGTCACACATGCGACCAAAAATAGAGGCAGTTTGATTTCTCTCCCCCAACATCTCCTGGTTGGAGTTTACATCCACAGCACAACACAGCATGGAGGAAATATTTCAATCTTTGACAGCGGAGAAAATCCAGGAGCTGCTAGTACTCTGCGGAATCAGTGACTGCAGCGATGAGCCTATCAAGCAACACATCCTTGGCATTTCTGACTTCAGTGAGCCCCCAGACTGCTGTTCGAGCAACTATTTCCACTGACACGCAAAGTCCGCCAAACGAGGCAGCAGGTAGGAATAACAGATCCACCACCACTTCCTACTCCCAAAGCTAGTCCGGATCCTGAAGCAAAGCGCGGCTCTTATCGGTTCCTCACCACACCTGAAAAACGAAGTAGAGCGGACTACACGGGGCTAGACGCACCGTCCCATAAGAAGAAAAGGAAGAACAAAGTCAAGGCGAAAAACAAGACTACTCTCAAAGAAATGTCGCAAGGGATGAATGGTGCCGTACCACCTCTAGAAGGAGGCATACCTACCGATTCTCCGTTGGCGGATGAAGCGAACACAGCGATGAACTTACCTCGGGCTGGGACTCCCTTGACCGACACGAGCACCTCTCGATATGGAGAGGCGCCGCGCAGTGTTGTTGAAAATATACTTGTCAACTGTATAAAAATTAACGATCCTCTTGGAAGGTACGGGCACCGTTCAAAGCAGGCAAATATCACGACGAAGGTTGAGGCGATTTAGAGTTTTGTGGATGACATTGTCAAGTTGCAATACCCCGATGCAGTCCAGCTAATCAAGCAGGAGAATGCTTTCTCGGCAAGCAAAAGTATCCAATCTCGATTTAACGAGACCGTGTATTGGGAAATCATCAAAAAAGGCGCCGAACTCCTTGACCCAAAGGATTTGCCAACCTCTAAAGGCCCTCTTGATGAATTCACGATGGCCGAGAAGGTCGCTACCGAGCGCTTCATGAGGGAAGCGGGTTATGGACTTAGCCTCGCTAATCAACGACAGTGCCGTCTTTTTTGGAAACGACTGTTCGAGATGCGGAACGCGGGTGTTGACAAAATTCTCTTGTATCGCACAAAGGAATTCGACCGCTTCTGCAAAAGCTACTCATCAGAAGCTGGGGCTTCTTTAGTAAAGATGGTCCGGAACTGGGAAAAAAGATATGCCTTCCATATCAAACAGTTGGAAGAGCGTGTGGCCGAGGAGAGCAAGGGCGGTTTCACAGGAAGACTATGGCTGAGCCAACCGCTTGTAGCGGACAGACTTAGTGTTCCTGAAAATGCGTGGAACAGCGCTATCAACCCATGGTCCTCCAGCGTAGAGGAAACCGTCTTCCAATTGAGCGGATCACACGAGCCATCCGCTGTTACGCTCGGTGGGTTCTTTGACTTGCAGCCAAAGGCAGAAACAATGCGGAACAAGTCTATTTTCGTTATTCTTCAACCCAAAGATGATGTCTTTCTCACGGTTTGCCCCATCATTTCAGTCCAGGAAGGAGATACCCTTGGGAGATTTGCTGGAGTGATTCGGTACTCTTCAGAATGCAGCGTTGTCTACGGTATACCTGGTCCCGAAGAAAACCTTTGGCTGGATTACTCCACGGTGACTGGGGCACTAAACTTCATGAAGGTATCTGCTCCTGGAGGTGACTCCAATGTTCGTCTTCAGTGGGAGCTCATCGATGGACGGAGTGAAGGGCATCTCATGTGGAAAGTCTCGGTTGTTGCTCTTCGGGCAATTCAACCATTTGAAGAAATTGTTCGCGCTGCTCCTCAAAAAGAACAATATCTCCTGCACCAGTCGCCGGCTTGCGCAAAGCGAGGATATATGAAGTACCGAAGCTCCTGATTCTTGTTTTTTATTTACTTCTAGCTGCTCATTAAATAGAATTATCGCTAATGATAAAGTAAGATTTATGCGTATACGCAGAGATGAATCATACTCGTTGCATTTTGGAGCCCAGCTGCTTTACAACAAAGTAAGAAAGCTGCAACATATGCTGAATGTACGGTCGATTTTGGCCACGCCTCCTATCTCCTACTGTCAGCCTTAGCTGTACTTAAACCACATTTTTTGACATGGAAGTGTAGCAAACATGATTCTGTTCCTGATTTGATAGACGATAGAATCTATTTGATCTACCAGCAACGGGTGAAGACATGAAGTCATGCCCACCGTAACCGCAAGCGCTGGCAACAAATTCGAACTCATGGTCGTTTCTGCAAATAGGTAGGTCCGACCATTCCTTCTTCAATATGGGTTGGCACTCTCTATTGCCTACTTTCTCATCCTCTTGCTTAGCAGCGTCGAACATGTACCGAAGCACTGCCCGACAGCCCATCTACGTCCCGGCGCATCGCAGGTCAGTTCTTGGTATCCGGTGGCCACTCGCTTCGATTGTTGCAGCACCACTCGAGATTTTATGCGGTGGGAACTCGTTTTGCCTTAAGACACTCCACGAAAAGTTGGAAGATGTTCACAAAGCCTTTTCCAAGTGACTTGTTGGTTTTGAGATTCTTTCGCACATCGGGATCGAGGTGCACGAGGATCTGGTCATTGTTCTTTACCCAAAAGCCACCATCATGGATTTCCTCCTGAATAAGGTCGTACATAGTCTCGCCTTGAAGGATCAAAGAAATTTTCATTCGGGCCGACATAAGCCCTTCCAGGCACTCTCCGCATGTACACCCGTATCGGAGGGTCAACGGCAAGCAAACTTGCAGTTGTTTTCTCAGAAATGCGAGGGTTGGAAAGAAAAATTGTAACCGGGCCTTCGAACCCGACACCCCTGCGGTGGTCCAGGGGTGTCGGGTTCGAAGGCCCGGATAATTATAATTAATTAATTGTGTTTTTAAAGAAGTGTAGGGTATTTATTGGAATATTATTGGGTAGACAGCAGTCTCCACTGCAATTCACGCGCAGTTTTCCTAATACCTAGGCACTTCCCCCAGCCAACACCCATATACGAACTGCGCTACTGAACGCTCTTACCGAACAGGACGCGCAAGTGGCTGGGTTTGGCTCCACAGAGACCGGATACGTGATCCGATTCAACGATACGGAGTCGGCCGGCGTCGCTCGCAACAACACCCAATGGTTGATCGAACTGGGTAACATCACGAAGATAGTCAAACCGCTGTTTGGCATCGTTGTTCACTGCACTCCAACAGAAGACTTGGATCTGGAACACGCCAGAGAGCAAGCTATCGAAAAGATTTTGAATGAGAAAACCGGGAATTCAGAATCGAGGAAGTAGCTTGGTTAAAGAACAAGGAAAAGCACTAGGGAAGTTCGCACCGCTGGGCATTTGGTTAGACTCGTACGAGGCAGCAGATTGGGTTCTAAACAACGGCCTGCTGGTTGGCGAAACATACATTGGTAGTATGGAACGCTGTGAAATCAAGCGGAAGCGATATTTGCGCTGTCAAAGATTCGGCTACCTGGCCTGGTCGTGCAAGAAAATACCGCGGTACGGTCACTGCGGCGGCCCTCAGGGGTGCGAACGTGATGCCTCGATTGCAGTGGTAAACACCCAACTGGAGACCGACAGTACCCGAACCTCGTCGAACCCGTCACAATGTTTGAGACAAACTCACGAGTACTAAATCGAGGGCGGGGATGGAAGCCCTGATCAGTGACCACCAGAGCCAGAACTTGGACGTACTGCTCATTCAGGAGTCGTCCGTCACAACCTATCGAACACATATCAACCATAGCGCCTGGCGGCTGCACCGACCGACGGAGAACAGCGACTCGGCCCGGTTTCGAAGTCTGATCTACGTCAATCGAAGGATCTCGACGTCGTCTCACCGACAGGTGCCGTGCGACCACCCGGACCTGACGGCGATCAAGAATTGGACAGCCTACTCTCTGATTCTCCTCTGATCAGTCTACCGCCAACAAGTGCCACTACACACCCCGCACGAGGCATCAACAGGATCAGCGCTGACAACCGCCCGGGGCGCAATCCAATCCACCATCCGGGATGAAAAAAGGACAACCGGAGACTTCAACCGCTACCAACCAACATGGGGCGGTAACCACATTTAGCTTCGCTTCACAGAGGACGCGAGCGAGCTGCTCGATTTCTTAGAAGCCTATGGCCCACGAGGAACAGCAACATATTGGTCTTTAAGCCAGGAGGACGTCCACAATCGATCAAACAGTAACCGACAAGCCTAATCCCCTCATCAAATTATAGAACTACGGGTCAGACCACCGGGCAACCTATTCAGAATGGAACCTCGCGGCCCCACGCAACCCCACATCCAAAACAAGAAAGACCTACGACCGAGCGGACTGGGACAAGATCGGGAAAAGGTTCGGCGTCAGATAGAACCGTGGGAACAGGTGGACACGAATTTGTGTCACGTGGGAGGAGGTCCTCAGTTTAGTTCCAACTGCCCTTCTCCAATATTCTTATTCAATCTTGTTAAATCTTGCTCCAAGAACGAAACTCGAGCATGGCCGGTGTTTTCCTCCCATACCACGAACCTGGAAGTATGTACCCAAGCATATGCCGATTGATCTATGCTCATTTCCTCACTGATCTATAATTGCAGTTGTCGAAATCCTCATTCTCGTTTCTTTCTTCTTCTTCCTTTCCCTTGCAAGATGGGTCTCCGCGACCGCAATCCAGGCCGGAATTATAGGTCAAATCGTCGTCGGCATCATCTACGGAGTACCCTTGGCCAACATTCTTCAACATCACTGGCAAGAGACCTTTGTCAGCCTTGGATATGTCGGGCTGATTTTGATCATTTTCGAAGGTAAGTGAAAATTTTCATCGTGGCTGCTTCGCTGCTTGGCTTCTTGGCTTCTTGGGACACTGATGTCATTCATTCTAGGCGGTCTTGGCGCCCGTGTGGACTTGCTTAAGCAGAACTTCACTTTGAGTATGATCAGCGCCGCAACTGGAGTTTTATTCCCTATTGGTATTTCATACCTTTTGCTCTTTCTTGGTTTTGGATATGGTTGGTTTTATTTGCCCCAAATTTTTAGTCATCAGTTAACTTGGACTAGGTGCGGTTGAGACCTTCATTATCGGCGCATCTCTTTCCGCTACTTCACTCGGTAAACTATCCCCCCAGAAACGTTGGTTTGACCATTACTGATAGATATTCAGGGACTACCTTTGCTGTGATCAGCTCTACGTCCCACTCAGTCAACCTCGCCGAGACTCGAGTAGGGTCAGTTTTGGTGAGTGCGGCTGTTATCGACGATGTTGTAGGACTTGTTATGTTAAGGTGTGATACTTATCTGGAATGAGATAAGGTGTGATGAACTCGTCAAGCTAACTATCTACAGTGTGATTGGAGATTTGGGCAAACTTTCAGGAAGCGGCGATAGCGTCAATTTGGGATGGCTCATTGGGCGTCCAATAGTGGCATCGATAGGCATGGCGGCCGTAACGCCCATCGTTACAAAATGGGTCTTTGCGCCATTTTTCCGTAAGTTCATTGAACATCGCTTTGCGCGCTACGACCATATCTCCAACATCATCCTCATGACCCTTGTTCTTTCGGCTTTTATATCCATCGCTGGCTTTACTGGTACATCCGTCTTATTTGGTGCCTTCCTGGCGGGTGTATTTCTTACATACATACCGAGCAAGCACCCCGAGGGACCGTTTGTTGTCCTGAGCCGCGAGGAGGGCGAGCGTGAGGCGGATAAAAGCCCCACTTTCATTCATACCTTTGAGAAATACTTGTTAGGGCCCCAGCAGTATTTGATGGAACCATTGTTCTTCTCAAGTATCGGATTCGCGATTCCGTTTGTGAAGCTGTGGACCGGGGAACGCATTTGGAAAGGGATTGTTTTCACCCTCCTGATGACGTTTGCAAAGGTATGCAGACACATTCAATAGTCGTTCCTCAGCAATCGAACTAAAATAACAAATAGTTTATCGTCGGAATCTGGATACCCGTATGGCAACTCACTTTGGGGGTAAAATCTCATGAAGAGTCACCCGAAGAGCACAAAACACAGGGGAAACCAAAAGTCGAGAAAAAGATCCCAAGCGTTGAACAAAGCGATCAGGAGAAGGGGAAGATGTGGAAACGGGCCTGGCTGGCCGCAACACTTCTAGGATCTGCTATGGTAGCACGCGGTGAGATTGGGCTCCTGATAATTGAAATCGGACATAACGAAACTCCGTACGTTAGTGATGAAGGTTTCTACACTGGCGTCTGGGCGATTCTTTTGAACACCATCATTGGCCCAGTTAGCGTTGGTCTCCTTGTTCGATTCTACGTGCACGAGCTCAAGGGGGTGATTGGGGAATGCAGCGTACTCCTCTGGCTAACCCGGGCCATGGTAATAGTGGGCATGGAGCGGTATAGACATTCTGTTCAAAGATCACATGTCAGGTGGGAGGACATGGCTGTACATAGAATGTGGAAGTGCTATGAGGGAGCGGTATGCATTGTGATATATCTGACTGATAAGCTGAATACCCTGAAAAATGTGAGAAGAAACCCTTGTTTGAAGTGAAATCAGGTGTGAAAGTACGGATTAAGCTTTTTTGTACAATCCATGGATGGGTTGATGTCCGAAAGCGAAGGTGTCCATGTGGTGATGGGCGGGGTTAATTTCGGTTGCTCAGCCACAAGCTGGTTGCTTGGCCTCACCTTCCCCATCTCACCTCCCAAAGAGGATCGATCATGCGGGTATAAAACCGCATTGGCAATATTGAGCCATTGGTCAAGTTTCTATTTATTGTTGATTTGTCTATTTACTACAACATGGAAAAAGATTTACATTTATGGTTCCATGGTTTCGCACAGAAAGTCTGCGCAATCTCATGGAATTATGGGGCATGTTGGCAAGGACCAAGGAGTACAGTCGTTCGGATAGATATGAGGAGAAACATCAAAATGTTTCGGAACTTGATCGGCTTCATGGAAGTCAACGGTTTATACATTGACCGAGACGGTATGAATGCATCAGAATCCATAGGATTCAATAGTAGTAGTCGAATATCGAGCGTATAGCTTGCTCATATTTGCACCGACATGTTCGGGAGCTGCTAGTCACGTGATGGGCCTTCGGACTAGTGTAATGTCACTTGACCAAGAAACTAGTGATTCAATGTTCATTTTCAGACGACCACCTCCTATCCTTCGTCTCGCCACTTTCAGCAACCTTATTGATATATTATACACACAACCTACCCCACCTACAAAGGTTATCCAAATGAACTGGCGTGCGATCAACAAGCTAGTATCAGCTCTTGCGCGCAACCAAACGTCGACGTTCTTCGACAAGCTCTCTGCGCGCCTTCCACCACGAGACCGTAAGGACTGTATCACCTTTTGGCTGTGCAAATTCGAACACGTACACCCGTCGGTCGGGCCCTCCGAGCTTTATATCATTCGGCCACTCTGTTACCGATATGTTCATCTACTTTGAATCGATGCGGGCCAAGATACATAAATTTCTATTTTCATGCCCCACGTTCATTTCCATACATTACACCTATATTATCGGCTGGACCTTGTTGACCTCGGTCGTCATCTATCCTGGTGGAGCTCCCGGCTTGCGATATGTAGATGCGCTCTTCTTTGGCTCGGGCGCATCGACTCAGAGTGGGTTAAATACAGTTGATGTCAACCTTCTTCACACTTACCAACAGGTAATCATCTGGTTTGTTACGATGCTCACCAATCCAATCTTCATTCACACACTCGTTGTCTTCGTCCGTCTTTATTGGTTTGAAAAGCGCTTCCAAAGCGTGGTTCGGAAAAGCCGTGACATTCGTCGGACGCGCTCAAGAAATCGGACTCAAACTCGCGAAAAAGTCCAACAAGATATTGGTCAGGAGAATGACGGTGTCCGCGGTCAAAATATCATCGTTCTGCGCGAAACCCTGAGACCACTTGACGCGGAGCTGCGACAAAATGAGGTCTTTGTACTCGACCCCAACGATAGCGAAAAAACTTTCGGCAGCAATACTGATACTATCACTAAAAGTACTGGAAGCAATTTTCACACGCGTTCCCGGACGCTGGATGTAGACAAGCTGCGACCCTTTCAGCGGAGGGACAATCAGCCTAGCATTTCTTTTGTGGAGAAGCAGCGGAACGATAAGGGTGCCCTGCGCATCCCGAGTCCACGCGAGTACGAGCGTGGTGGTTTGCCGCAAGTGCTGGATGAAGACGAGGGTACAATGACACGCAGCATGACAGCGCCCGTACAACCTGCCCATCAAGAAGGCCCGGGTTCCCCTTTAGATCGAATCAAGCAGCATATAGCCATCAATGAACCCCACCTCATGCGGCAGCACCTGTCTAGGACCGCTACATCTCCTATCTTGAGCACACACAATACCAACAATGAGATGACAGATGACGCGGAATCTCCAGCCCTACCAACGACACAGACCCAGAGAGGAACATTAAACTCTCTCTTCCGCTCCTTTACGCAAGAACGCGAGGTTGACAGCATGCCGTACCTGAGCTGGAATGCGACTATCGGACGCAACTCCACGTTTATCGGTCTGACTGAGGCACAGCGGGATGAGCTGGGTGGCATCGAGTATCGAGCGCTCAAGACTCTTGCAGTGGTACTCATATGCTACATGGTCGGCTTCCATCTCATTGGGATTACATGTTTGGTTCCTTGGATCCTTCGCGCTGGCAAATATGGAGGCTATATCGACTCGATTGGTCTATCCCGGACATGGTGGGGCATCTTCACTTCAGGTTCAGCTACGAATGATCTGGGATTTACCTTGACGCCAGATTCGATGAGTTCCTTCAGCGACGCGATATTTCCCTTACTCTTGATGAGCTTCCTCATTGTCATTGGAAATACAGGATTTCCTTGCATGCTTCGGTTCATCATTTGGTTCTCATCGATTCTGGTGCCGAAAGGCGGAGCAGTCTGGGAAGAGCTGAAATTTTTGCTTGACCACCCGCGACGGTGTTTTACACTTCTCTTTCCACGGGCGGCAACTTGGTGGCTATTCGCTGTACTAGTGATACTTAATGGCGTCGATATTTTCTTTTTCTTTATCCTGGATTTGAATGATAGCGATGTTACGAGCATTCCTGTGGGCTTTCGATTCGTTGATGGTCTTTTCCAGGCCGTTTGCACCCGAACCGCGGGCTTTTCCGTCATCAGTCTGAGCGATCTCCATCCGGCGATTCAGGTGTCTTATATGTTCATGATGTATATCTCTGTCTTCCCGGTTGCCATCTCAATTCGCCGAACCAATGTGTACGAAGAACGCAGCCTGGGTATCTACTCATCTACCAATGAGCACAACGACGGGGTTTCAAGCGAGACAAGCTATACTGGGACCCACTTGCGAAAACAACTGAGCTTTGACCTATGGTATGTTTTCCTAGGGCTGTTCCTCATAGTTGTTGTCGAAGGTACAGCCTTGTCCGATCCAAACCGATACTACTTCAACCTCTTTGCGGTCCTATTCGAGATTGTATCGGCATACGGTACCGTTGGGTTGTCCATGGGCTATCCCGGTATAAATGCTTCCTTTTCGGCTGAACTGAAGACACTTTCTAAACTTATCATCATCGCGATGCAAATTCGCGGGCGACATCGTGGCTTGCCGTACGAGTTGGATCGTGCCATTCTCCTGCCATCTGAGTCTATGCAAAAGAAGGAAGTACAGGATGAGGAGCAGAGAATCAGACGACGTCGCTCCAATCTAAGCAATACATCTCCTGAAGCTGGACCGACACACTGCACAACTTCGAAAGCGAAAACAGGTGTGGCAAGCGCCAAAAGCACAAACATGCGGCCTGTTTCCCTCAGTAGAAGGAAGCTGCGAGCTGCCAGCCAGACATCATAATGCCGCACATGATGGATTACAATAGTGGTTCAGTCACGCCGGTTCAGTCACGCCGATTCACGTCGCTAGGGTGCTAGCGCATTTCGACCCTATAAAGGGACCAGGGGGGTTCCATCGCAGGACAAGAACAACGACCACTAGGCCCCCCCCACCCAAACCCTCTTTAGATTTGTAGAGTAGCAACTTGCACCTACTTGCTGGAGTCATCGACATGACGAAAACTTATAAGATGCGCAGTGTGGTCTAATATGCACCAAGCAAAGGGTACTGGTACGAGGTACGGTAGATAACTAGAACCGATGTATTTCTGAGTCCTGCGACAATTAAGATGTTCGAAAAGACGGCTCCGCAAGGGCCGCAACAAGGATGGCATTTAAAGAGCCACAAAAAAAAAACAAGCGGCTATGAAAACAGCACCGACATCTGCAGGCGTGAGGGTGTATCCTGTATTTGGGACCTAGAGATGTGAGGTCAGTTCGCTAATTAAGCAAGCACTTCAAGACACATTAATCCTGTAGGATCTCAGGAGCTGCGTATTGAAGCCGCTGGTTCGGTAGCATCGGGAGACCTGGAAATGGCAGGCTGCAGCACGAACGCATAGCCGTCAGATTGATCGCTGTTATTTTATCCCTTATAGATCTTCCGGTGAAGACTGCGTCCAAGTAAAGTCGATTGGCCCAGGTGGATTTACTGTAAATTGAACGATTCAAAAGTACAACAAAGAAATAGTGTCGAGACCCTACTGCTTCTATGTACTGCTCTTTTTTTTCGTATCTACATATTTCGCCGACGAGAAAGCAAAACCCAGGATAGCGCGGTCCCGAATAACCGAACTCATGAGCACAAATTTCCACAATCCACTCTCGATACCCGGTATTCACAATTGCTATGGTTGATTTTTCCAGTAAGTCTCCAGTAAGTCTTGATATGTGCGCTGACGCGCCATGTGGCGGTTTGTTCCCCGGCCCCAATTGATGTCGGGCCAGGGAAAATGTTTGTTAGGGATGCTCCGGGACGTCCCTCGACGAACTCAACTTGGAAGATTTTCGGGCTCTGCGACGGAAGAAAACTCGCTTGGTCTATTTCCAGGCTTCGACGCCGATGAAGAACAGGACAGCCTCGACTGCCACGATGCCCCATTCCCAAGTGATAGGCTTATGTTTGAAGACGACATCGTTCAAGACGGGGATGTAGAGGATAGGGAACATGGTGATCCATCCGGCCATGATGGACCAGAAAAGAAACTTGTTCCGCCAGACATCGTACATCCATTGTGTAAAGTATTTTTTGGATTTTGGCTGCATGCGGAAGAACGACCGGCGTATGTTGACTATCTCCCAAGCCAGAAACAGCGCAAACCAAGTTAAGCAAACGAACGTGGTAGCACGTGCTCTAAATACCAGTTCGCAGTCTTTGATCTCTTCTGACCATTCCTTATTGCAGCCACGGGCCAGGTTACCGTCGCCGAATCCCTATATACGTACAGAGAATGCCGCCAGGCAGAGCGCTGCGGTCTAGATACTATAAACCAGAATGTCAATAATCACCTCCTAGATGAATATGCCCTGCTTACTCTAGGGAGGTCGGTTTATGATATCAGGTGCAGCCACCTCTATTCTAAGGCCTATATCGGGTATACCCGACGTGATCATAATAATCCAGAGAATTTCGATAGGGGATAGAGGGAAGACGGATTGATTATCAGCGTCTTTGAAAGCCAATCCGATAAGTAAGGTACAGGCCTACGCGATATTTTCTGACAACAGATAAAGCACAAATTTTTGAATATTATCAAAGATACGACGACCTTCTTCAACGGCATTAAGAATCGAGGCGAAGTTGTTATCCGTGAGTATGATGTCAGATGTATCTTTGGCCACATCCGAACCTACCTACCCCATAGCGATACCAACATCGGCATACTTAAGCGAAGGAGAATCATTTACTCCGTCTCTAGTTATAGCCGCAAAGCGACCACGGCGATGAAGGGCGTCGATTATACGCATCTTAGTCTACGGAGTATACCGTGCAATGACTAGAGGTAGGGTCGGAAGCGTATCTACCTGCTTATTAGTAAGGTTATCGAATTGACTAGCAGTCATAATTATAGCGTCTACGATATCAGCCGCTATAGTATTGAAACTAGCTAGAAGAATTCCTACTTACTGGGCAATCGCTTTAGCAGTGCTAGGGTGATCGCTAGTGATTATATGGACAACTATACCTACCTAGTAGTAGGCCTAGATTGAGCCTACTGTCTTAGGGCGCGGGGGATCATATAAGCCGATTAGTCTAAGGAAGTATAGATTATTCTCCGTATCTTCGCGATTCAGATCGGACCCTCTAAGCAATTGTGTCCGGTTAGTGTACGGTCGATAGGCTAGAGCTAATACCCGAAGCCCCTATTTAGCGAGTTCCTCTATATTCTGGAGGATCCTTTCGCGGTAGTCGTCGGTTATTTGGACGGGGGTTAACGAATCCTAGTCCTAGATAACTGAGGTGTATGAGTCTGCGATACGCTCGACTACACCCTTAGTAAACACTATTGTGCGGTCCTCGTGTGGGGTGACTTTATTAAAAACCACTAACATTTTCTTAACGGTTAAGTCGAATAGGAATTTAGCCTTCTGGTGCCACACTATACCTTAACCCTTAATCCAGCGGTCGCGGTTCCAGTTGAACCTTGATACAAAAACGTGGATGGCAATTTCCGTAGGCTCGCTTAGTCTATCGCACAACCCGGGTTTGGGTCGAGATATCGGACCCGGACCCGGACCCAGCCTGGGTCCGGGTCGAAGTCAGCGAACCCGGACCCAACCCGGACCCAGCGCTGGGCCCCCAATGGGGCCCCAGTAAAACCCAACTTTGCATAAAAACAAACTCTTGGCGTTCATAAAGTTGCTAAATAATCAACATGTAATCTTCGTATTTTTTTGTGTTTTAGATCGAACCCATATGAACTCACTTATTCGACATCAACTTTATATGACTAAACTAAATAGACACTTATATCATTTTATATTGGCCAGATATTAGTTTATTACCAATAAAAATTAAAGATAATCATGGTTGTAGTGGTATTTGATAATTTAGGTTTGCTGACATGGTTGAAGTTGTAGAAATATATTTTGAATACAGTGTAAAGTAGTCACTCTATCCTTACACGTTGAGATCTCCTTTCGACTACTACTATCTCTGACCGCGGTCAGAAAATTAATTATACGATTAAAGCCTTATTCTACTATACTTTCTAACCGCGGTCAGAAACTCTAGCTGAGGGGATCTTACAGTGAGCGCGGGTAGAGCCCGAGTACTAATACTCCTAGTTTCTGACCGCGGTTAGAAACTCTGGCTGAGGGGATCTAGCAGTAAGCGCGGGTAGAGCCTGAGCCTTAGTACCGGCATTAGCCCGTTATAATTGCTGGGTTTTGCTGGGTTTTGCTGGGTTTTGCTGGGTTTTGCTGGGTTTTGCTGGGTTTTGCTGGGTTTTGCTGGGTTTTGCTGGGTTTGGCTGGGTTTTGGCTGGGTTTTGCTGGGTTATGCTGGCTCTAACCCACTTAAACCTATAATATATACCAATTAAATGCTAGTGAAGTAGGTACTTTTGATAAACGACGACTTGATCGTTCAGCTCTCTATTCACAGCTAGGGTAATACGTCTTCTGCCCTTTGTAAGTAAATCCCTTCTCTTATTCTTCCCCTCGTAATTGATCATTTATTTATTTCGCCTATTATGTCCCAGAGCCAGCAATCTAATTTGACATCCTCGATTTATGATGGAGATATAGACAATCTTGGTTATCTTACCCCTTCAAACCGACTTGGTACCCCTGAACCATCCACTAGCCAGCAGACGTTCGATCTCGACTCTATTGACTCCGAATTCCTTCGTCCGATTATTCCCCTTATACCTCCTACCTCACTTCTACGTGTTGGTCCCGATCGGAGAAAGGCATTTGTTCTTTATGACAAAATGACTCATACCGAATGGGTCGACTGGTGGTTACAGACTGATTTTGGAAGGAAGAGCAAGATCCATTGGGACTCAAACCACCAGTCTGATGTTTGGGGTAGGTTTAACCAGGTTGCAAATAGTATCGATGGGGCACCAAAGGTTATGTGTAAGAATTGCGGCCAGATTCTTGAGCATCCTTACACTATCCATCCTCATCCAACGGGCGACCGGAAAGCACAATATCATGGCACATCAACAATGTCAAAACATATCAAGAGCGCAGGGTGTCGAAAGGCTAAGGGTGGATCAAAGCTAGAGATCACAAGATTCCTCAGCAAAGCTGTATGTTCTATTATAACTTAATCTTTTATTCTCCTTACTAAATTTTTTTAGGATGATACTCCGACCGAGGCTCCTTTCTCACAAGAGGCCTGGGAGGAAGAGATTTTATCCTTCTTATCTCTTAATCGACTCCCATTTCAACTTATCGAGCACCCAACGTTTCAGAGCCTAATTCAAATGGCTCGCACCTCTCTATCCACCCCGTTTATCCCCTCTGCTGATACAATTCGTCGTCGGCTATCAAGCACAGTTAAGAGTCGGCAACAGAGTGTGCTTCAGATGCTTCCATCTCACTCAAAGATATCTATTGCCCTTGATTGCTGGACCTCTCCCTTCTCACAGGCGTTTATAGCAATCACTGGCTATTTCATTGATAGCGACTGGGTATATCGAGAGGTGCTACTAGACTTCAAGCCTATTTATGGGGCGCATACTGGTGCAAACCTAAGTAGTGCGCTGATAGAGACCCTCACAGAACATGGAATCGAAGATAGGGTGTTTGGGCTGACAACAGACAATGCATCAAACAACAAAACTCTTATGGAATCCCTTCAACAGGTTTTACCGGATGGTGTTATTGTTATTCGAATTCCTTGTCTTGCCCATGTTATCCAACTTAGCCTGAACCAGCTTCTTGGACACATCAAGGCAGTTCCAGAAAATGAGACTACAGAGACAAAGTGGACTGATCAACAGTCTAAAATGGCCCAGCAGAATGCACAACAACAGCAGCGAGGGATTTCTTCTACGCTGAATAAGATTCGTTACCTTGCAATATATGTGAACGCTAGTCCCCAGCGCCGGGAGAGTTTTTACAATCTCCAGCCCCAAAAAGTCAAGATTGCCCCAATCCAAGATGTGAAGACCCGGTGGAATTCAACATTCCTAATGCTTCGCCGCGCGAAGAGACTACGGTCTGTTTTTGGCCCTTTTTGTGAAGAGTATGCTCGTCTTGATCTGCTACCAGATACCGAAGAGTGGCGTCAAATTGACTATCTTCTTTGTATCACGGAGCCATTCTTTGATTATACTCTACAACTCTCAAAGACTCGGGATATTACTGCACATTATACTTTTAAGATATACAACCGGCTTTTTGAGCATCTTGAACAGTCAATGAAGCAGCTCAGACGGAAGCGTGTTCTATGGAAGAAACAGATGCTTGATGCGCTCGAAGCTAGTCGACTAAAGCTTGACGAATATTACTCTCAGACTGATCATATCCGAGGGTATATCTTTGCGATATGTACCATGCTTGCGCCTGTGAATAAGTTTCAATTCTTTCAAACTGATGACTGGGATCAAGAGTGGCGCGATAAATATCGCCAGGCATTCCAAAAAGCTCTCGTACCATATCAAGATCGGCTTTCTCATATACAAGACTCGCAACCTTCTTATAATCAACCTCGACCAAGTTCGAAGCTTGATAAGATGTTGAATAGTAATAGAAGACAGCTGTCGGGAGTCACAGATGAGATAACACAATATCTCGATAGTGGTATGTTAACCCTAAATAATATTAATATTTTACTAACTAGTTAATAGATACGATTGAAATTGCGCCTCTTGGTTTCTGGAGAGAGAATCAACACCGCTTTCCAGCTATTGCAGCTCTTGCAAGGGATATTCTCTCAATACCAGCAACAGGCGCTGGTGTTGAACGACTATTTAATACCGCTCGAGATATCTGTCATTACCGCCGGGGAAGAATGAAGTCCGAAACAATCCAAGAGCTTATGATGTTCCTTTGTACTTCAAGATTCGATCTTGAGGAGCAAGAGGCTAAGCGACTTGAAGAGTTTTTTACACAAGACGAAATTGAAGTGGCGAAGGAAGAGAAGGATGAGAGACCCGATGGGGTTGAAGTAGACCCAATTAGTGATACTGAAGAGCTAGATAAAGGGGATAAGGAGAATAAGGCGATAGAGGATATTGAAGATGATATGATTGAGCCTAAGCTACCGGATAATGGTACGCAGCTCCGATTATCAGGACGGAAGCGTAAACAGCGAGATGATGATAATTTCCAGTATCACTAGTTAGCTAAAATATTATCTTCCTACCCTAAATCTACATACTCTTGATATAGATAAGATGCAAGAGAAATACCCAAAATTACAATAAGAGATTGTATAAATTATGCAGTGAGGATTCCTTGGTATATTTGTCTTATTTGTAACCCAATTGGGGCCCCAGTATGGGTCCGGGTTGAGGGTAGTAACCCAGAACCCAGCGCTGGGTTGAGATTTTGGACCCGGACCCAACCCAAACCCGGGTTGGGTCCGGGTTGGGTCCGGGTCCGGTTGGGTTCTGCGGAAGCCTAGGCTCGCTACGCGCGTACTATTCGCCCTCTTCGGACTTATAAACGTGAGAGAGGTTTGCTATAGAAGCGACGTCTAAGAAGTCTTCCAGCTAGCGGTTTCCCGAGACGAGACCTTTTATACTTTCTACGGGGGGGCCTTCCTTCTTATTAATGAGTTGTAAAGGAGGTATAGGAGTGTAGGTAATATCTCTAAAGGTCGGATTGAAAGGCTCGTTAGACGAGCCGACAGAGTACGTCCCCCGAGATAGGATCCATACCTTTTTGATAACTATTTTGCCTTAAGTTAAAGTACCCGTCTTATCGGAACAAATGTCTGTTACAGCACCAAGTGCCTCCAACGAGTCTAATTTACGAATAATCACGTTCCGCTCGACTATACGCTTAGTACCGACTACCATTATAATAGTAAGTACGACCACCAGACACGCCGGAATCATACTGATACCGGTTGCAACAGTATATATAATAACTTCCTTATTGCTGCTGAATAAATTTGCAGCTATACAAACAATAGCAAACATAACGGCAATTCCAAATAGTAAATAGGCTAGTTTTGAAAGCTTCCTCTATAAGAGAGTTCCGATATTAACACTAAGGAATCGACCCACGGCATCCGTCTACGTAAGAGTCCAGGCCTAAATATACCACCGCTTCTTAGACTCACCGTTGGGACCGTGCTTGACGGGACGACGCTTACTATCGCTAGCCCGCAATACGAGGGCAATAGAACCAATTTCGGTGAACATGCCTATACTGATAACTACACCACGCCCACGACCACGAGTAACAGTGCTAGAACTGTAGGCGATATTGAGGCGGTCTCTAGGGCCAGTATCCTCTTTGAAAGTCGAGTCGCATTCCTTCTGGACGGGCAAAGACTCGCCTATCAGAAGAGCCTCGTCGGTCTCGAAGTTAACTATTTCAACCAGGCTATTGTGTTATTAGTAAAAGATCACCAACTCCCTCAACGACTTTAAAAATCGCAGTTGCATTGTGAAAGGGATCTCACCGAATATCCGCTGGAACAGTATCCCCCGTCCTCAGCTCAATCATATCACCCGGTACGATCTCAGATGATGGTGCCGAGAATGTCTGCCCGCCTCTCGAGACAGTCCCCGTCGGCGACGACAGCGAATGCAACGACTCCATAGTCTTTTCAGCGGCGTACTCCTGAAAGAATCCAACAACAATATTCAAGACAATGACTGCGCAGATCACTCCGCCCTCAATCCACGACTGGATTCCAAAACTGACCGCCATGGCCAAAATCAGAACCTGTAACAAACGACTAGATCAGAATTGGACAATTTTCAACCAGTTTCCATGGCTTAATTGAAGAAGATAGCAGTCTCTTACTAGCATCATTGCGTTGGCCACCTGCCGCACAAAAATCTTGACCAACGACACACCTTCCCCTTCGTCCAGTTGATTGGGACCATATTGCTGGAGACGACGACTCGCTTCGTCGGGGGGTAGACCATCGTCTAGCTCAGTGGTGAGTTCTTTGATCACATCTTCATAAGTCAGCGTGTGAGCCGGCTGGCTTAGTGGGCTGCCGCCCGACCCGGAGTCGGGCGCAATGTCATTTTTCTCGTCTGGCATTGGAAATTATTCTGGTTGAGTAGCTAGCTATAGCTAGGCGTGATGATTGCTGAGCCGCTTGTTTCTCCGTCTTACCCGAAGTATCTGCTGGCTGGAGAGTTGAACTGGATGTAAGCTCTGCGTGGGGATCATGAGCTTTATGTTTGTCAGGTCTCGTGCGATCTCTGCGACCGGTCGTGTCAGGGAGTCGGTGTGAGTGCCCCATATTTAGCTTTGGTTCATCGCTGGATTCCTTGGTAGCAACCCAAGTCGCACGGTTCGCAAGAGCCGTCACTGAAACGGGGTTATAGGCTTGGCGCCGAGACGTTGGGCCGTGTCCGTAAGGCGGTCGCGTCTCCTCGTGATTGGTAGCCATCAGACAGTAGTCAATTATAATCCGTTGTTCAATTATAATCGAAGAAATATCCTGGTCGCGGCAAGTCTGGTCGGGGTCCACCCAATGACAGCAATACTGCCGAGAACTTCCAAGCGCCAAGATTCAGTCTCTAAACGCCAAGAATGCCTAGTTCCTGCAAACAGAGAATTGCCAAGACTAAGAACCAGGAGTGAATTCAGAGCATTGGCCAATTCCCCAGTCCTATCTTCAGTGCGATGCGGGAAGTCTACCTCATCTTAAAAGCACATATCTGCTTTATCCTATCCACGGCTTCTCTCCCGGCAAAGTAAACAACTAGAGGCACTAAAGTACATCGAGCTAGGGTTTCGTCAACTTACCTAAGAGCAAGTCCAGTTGGCTAATCAGGACGCAAGAATATGCCCAGTTATCTTCAAAAGCTACTTCAGTTAACGTTCAAACACTTTGGTTCTTGCACTCCGGGAGGACAACATGGAGGTCCTGGCGGTTGCGGACGCAATCATTCTCAAGTATCTCGAACTTCCATCTACTCTGAAGTGAGTTTAGAGATGACCGACAGCATAATTCCAGACCCAACCACTACGTTTAGAAAACGTGTCTTTGGGAATGGAAGGTTCATGCTCGAGAACGGGGATCACTGCCACTTTCTGAAACCGCTATCGTCGAAAAGACTATTCCGTGAAGCGAATCGAAAGATGAACTGGAGATACTTGAAGAGGATAATTACAAAAGCTTGCTCGCAACCGTCCGCGGATTCAGAATGGAAACAGTGGATGGAGAATCAACAAACTGGCGTCGTGGCTGGGGAAAATATGACACTCCTAGTCCAGAAATACGGGGATATATGCGATATTCTGGGTCACGGCTCGTTTGGGGCCGTTTTTCTGTCGCACAAAATCCAAGAGTGGAACCCGAACATTCATCGCTTTTACGCAGTCAAAGTCTTCCGCCGTGAAGCACAAACAACCGAAACAGCTTACCAGAGGCGCGTTGAGTCCGAGTTTTACATATCCTCTTCATTGCAACATCAAAATATTGTTCGGACTTTCGAGTTGCTTCGAATAGGTAATGATAGCTTTTGCGAATGCTTGGAGTATTGTTCCGGTAGGGACCTGCATTCATTGGTAGCCACATCCGGTCAGCTGGAAGAGCCAGAGGCCGATTGTTTCTTTAAACAGCTCATGCGTGGCGTCAGCTATATCCATAAGATGGGAATTGCTCATCGCGACTTGAAGCCGGAGAATCTTCTTCTCAGCACCAATGGCTGCCTGAAGATTTCCGATTTTGGAAGCGCTGAATGTTTCCGCCTTGGTTGGGAAAACCAGATACATATGTCCAGGACACGTCGCGGTTCACGCCCTTTTGTATCGCCGGAACAATATCTATGCGAGGAATTTGATCCTAGATCGGTCGACATCTGGGCTGCCGCTATGACTTACCTTGTGATAAGAACAGGTAGGATTCCATGGAAGATAGCGACCGATCAAGATGAATCTTTTCGAGACTACGTCGCAGACCGTATTGTTGGAAAAGGGCATTTTTTCATTGAGGAAATATGCAATATTAGTTACCGATTTCCCGTCCTATCTGGCTGTTGTGCTAACTCTGCAGCAACAGACAGCAAGTCGACGAGTCATATATTCGATGCTAGATATTGAAAACGTGCGCCGGCCTATCGCACCTGAAATTCTTGATTCCCGGTGGCTACAAGAGACTAAAACCTGCACAGCCGCTGGATCATGACCACTTTAGCTAGATAATTATTTTCATGGCATCAATGAAACAAAACATATAGACTCAACATTAATACGATCCAGTTACATAGCCCTGGCCCCCTCCTTTCTCAACAACTTATCCTCAACGACCCAACTCAACGACTTACTGGACGACATCATTGCATTATCAGTAGATGCAGGTAGATATCGGTGTCGCCCAACCAATGCAACAGCCACCAAAACCAACTTGCTGACGGCATGCTACGCACCACAAAATGAATAGCTCTTGCAGGGACACCGACACAGCTGTACGCTGGCACGACCTCGAAAATGATATTGAATGTCGAAAACGATACGGGTTGGAATTGGTAGTGAACTGATTCGGCATTCCTTATGAAGAGTACCACAAGTGAGATCCACAAAATGTCATTACAGTTACGTTCATCATTTCATCATTCGCATGTTAGGTTGCAGTAATATTTTGTGTACTCATTGCACCCACACTCCAATACTGACCTATTAAGGCAGCATGGCTTTGGTGGCCAGGTCTTTCTGGTTGCTCAGAATTAGGGCTTATAGTACTTGGTTCGTAAGGTGTCTGTTTGGAAGAAGGAATAGAGCCAAGCGTCATTGTGATCATGTAGGTGGTGTGATCCCTAGGGATGGGTAGAGTAACGATCTTGAATGTGCTCGCGGTAGTCTTCATACTATAGTTTGATTATCCAAATTTGATGACTTCTCACCAAAAAGGGGTGTTCGAATGATAAGACTTCGCCTAATAAATACGCACATGGTGGTGGCTGGGCGTGTATCCGTGATTTGGCAAACCGATAAAATCACAGTTTGCAAGGCGGCGAAGGCGCTGTGCTTGCAGCGATTTTGGTCCAAAAAGTGCATGCCACATCATGCATTGTGCATAATGCAGGTGATCTGGCAAGAAGCACGTAATGCGTGCGTGAACCCCTGCAGTCTACATAAGTACCCGTGTTTGAATGAGGCTGCAGCCTCGGACTTCATACGAGCCAGAGGCGGTTAGCGCTTCTCTTCACGTTTGCTTAGAGAGGCGCTTGGCCTAATTAAGACACTACTAACCAGATTTTACCATGGTGCAAGACTAGAAGGCCATGCGAGATTTTCGAGCCTAGGAATAAGGACTACGATTGGCTGCTGCCGCATTTACGTACAATCCTTCGCCGCTGATGCTGAGATCTTGGAATATAGAGGCTTAATTCCGACTCGCATTTAAGACAATCGGCGCTCTTAGAATTAGAGAGGAACAGCTATGCGTGGTGGCTTGAGCAAGTAATCAAAGCGCTCGGTCAAATGTGGTGAAAATCGAGAAGGGTAGCAGGAGATAGCGCGCACAAAGAAACGCTGAGTAACTATAGAACCGGACTCTCGATTCTGCAGGATAGAAGCTTTATGCATCTTAGCTAGTCCGTTCTCTGCTGAGTGGGTATTTACTGGTTGCCGGGGAAACATGGTGAGGAGTGTGTAGTGACGCCAAGTATGTATTGGAAATCGGCTGAGACTTATAAGAGCGGCGTGAAAAAAATATCACAGGTAGACTTAGGGGGTGGCAGGGTATTAGGGAATGCACGGACATAAGAGCAAATGGGGATAAATAAGCCAATAACATCTAATAAACACAATCCTTCCTTATGCTAGGAAAAGCTGGTCATCAATTGAATTAAATTAATTTGATAAATTAAACATATACTAGTATGATTTCCTCGAACGAATAAAACATTCACTAAGTACGTTTGACATGCGTATAAAGACAAGGACCGTGAACACTAACACTGCCATCAACAACTATTGACTTCCTATTTACTCAACGTTGATCGAATTCGTCGTATGCAATGGTGCAGAATCAACCAATCCACCCATTTTCCAATATCATTTTGTGAAGGGTATTCGTTTCCTCACTCTACTATGACGAGAGCTCAAACACTTTAAATCGGCCACTTAAGGCCGTCGAAAATGAGCGGCCTCTCAATTCTTCAACGCCGCCGCACTTAATTGCGTTTGCCTACCTTGTTCTGGTCTAAACCCAGCTAGCTGTTTTTCTGATTAACGTACGATATGCTGAGTTAGGGAGCTAAATTCAATTATTGCTCCTAGGATCGTGCTCACGGCCTCTAGGAGCTAAATTTTCTCCAGGAACTGTACCTGTCACTCCTGGGAGCGAGACAGATCGTTCCTAGGCTCTTTACCTTGGATTGTCAGGGATATACATGAAGCATACAGGATGGATGGAGATATGATCTGCGTGGGACCCACATGGTGTATATGGGTTCCCCTGAACGCGAGGAAGCTACCTTTCTTTTGCTTCCTCGCGCTAGAGGCGACTAGAGCTTTTCTTAATATTGATTATCCATCTACGAAACTCAGTCCCCATCTACGTATACGTAAGACCCTCACACCATGTCCTGGGAGCCCTGTCGCTCCTAGGAGTAAAAACCCTAAAACCCCTAAACCCCCTAAAACCCTGAGCCCTATTGACAAGGTGGGAGCCAAGCAAGACAGTGCTCACGGACATTTCCGGCACGCTGGTCTCAATATTGAAGTATTTTAGACCAAATACATTGTTTTATATGCATTTTTCCGCCCTCGGCACCTGCTTATGTTAATTCCTGACTTGAGATGTGATCCCATGCTCAATATTCGCGCGGCAAATCCTCATTTCATTTGACAGCCAGTGTTTATCCATAGACAGTCACTTAATATAAGCTGAAGCATGTTGAATTAGTTATACGTTTCAGACTACAGTGTCCCGCTTCCGAATTTGCGCTGACCTTATCACATGTGTATGAGACAAGCGAGGGAGACATAACGCCACCACTGGATCCTGACTTTTATTCCGTAAAGTCGGGCATAAGACCGATCCAAACCATATGATTTTTAAGGACGGGCACACGTTATGTGAGAGATTCTAGTAAAGAGATGACTTCATTAGAGACGTACTTTCAAATTGTATTAACATTTATATCTAACCCCCAGGGAATGAACATTTGCATCTTTTCTCGCTATTACATATCCCACTTGAGCCAGTTTCGCACTATCTCTTTTTAAATGACAAATCATTATTTACATATTCCATCGTCCGAAGAAAAGGGCACGTTGACAGCATACGAGCTGTTGTTTGCACGCCTACCATGTTATTCAATGTATCAAGATCGCTTCAAATCTGGTCTGTTGCCCTGTACAAATTCCAGCCTGAGCTTGAGTGTCCAAAATGACAAAACAAACCAGAGCCGAAAACTAAGTTGTATACAGACTATTTAGACACCACATTACTCCCTCGGGGCGAATGTTCCATTTGCCTGGAAGAGCTAGGTTCGACAGCCGTCTTTCGCCAGCTGCCTTGTGGCCATGTTATCCATCAACCCTGCGCAGACACCTGGCTTTGTGCTGGCGATGCCAGTTGCCCCCTATGTCGCCAGAGGTTCTATTATCTGCGAAAGCCACGGATTCTAACTGTGAAGGAAGTGCGGTCTGCGGGTCATGGACCAAGTTCGCCGCTTGTAGGTCACAATTCCGTGCATCGGTTGCAGATCGTGAAAGCCTGGTTTAGGAGAAAGTTATCTGGGAGCCTGGTGCCGGCCTTCGGTTCCCGTGGTGGGAGTTGACACTTTGCTTGCAAATGCTGGGATTTTTCAAATTGAATCCGCGTGCGGGAGGTTCTTGGATTGCCCCTGGTTTATTTGAGCAGTCGTTCTTCTTGATGCCTCTCACCGTCTCATAAGTCCTCTACCATCCACCAATATAAGGTATGAAAACGCCTAGTTTCTATTGTGACGTTTCCATACACCTGCAAGTTCAACTTGAACCTTCGTTATTCATTTCGACTCGCCTGCGATAGATCATGGCAATATCCCGACCTCGGATATCAGTCGATAGAAAACTACCAGCTCGCTGCTTGGCGGAGTGATTTTGCAGATTCCCACAACTTTCCCGAGGGCACACCTCTTCTACACGTAGTCTCGTCCGCATTGTAACCGAAGAGTGATACACTTGTGCAACATAATGTATTTGGCAAACACATGAGTTAGCCCGTCGCCTATGTCTCTGCCTGATGGGCAAAACGGCAGCTAGTCTCCCCACATAGACAGTTCTTCTTCAGCTTCCCCCAGTAGGAATCCGAATAATCGACCGTAATCTCACTTCCGGCGGTCACTCCGCGAGAGACCACGAGTATGCGTTCTATTCCACGCCAGTAAAACTTCTGAAACTGGCTATTGGGGCGACACGAGTGATTGATGAAGCGAGTAAAATTGCCCATTTGACCTTGGAAGACCTGATATGGTCGTTCTGGGCTTCCGCCCATCATCACGTCCAGACCTTCAATCCCTTGAGTGACGAGACCGACAAACTCTGCAATAGCTGTGCCTCGGTCGAATTCCTTCCAAACGTTAGTGATCACTGTATTAAGGGCGGTTGGCAAAGACCGGAAGGGATATCTGCATGCGACGTACACAGCGGGCGATCACCCCGTTATTCTTCCCACTAGCTGTGTTATACAACTGGACAGGAGGGGGATAACGAACACCACCAAACAAAGCCGAGAAACAAGAACAATGATTGGAGATCACATCATCGGTCTGTTGTTCCTTACACAGTTGACAAATATCAGGATCAATTTCCTGCCCGCGTCGAGGGTCATCTCCACCGAACACACTATGATCGATCACGCAGTCATTCACGAACTGATAATTGAAGCCGTTTGGCAATGTCAGATGGGGGTAGGTGGTTTTAAGCGGCAATGCTGGCCTAGTATCTAGCGTGACCCATTCATGAGGGTGACCAGAGTATCGGCAAGGCCCATTTTGGCTAACAACTCGGAGAAGGTCTCGCCAACCAGGGTGGAGAGTATCTGCGGCGACTTCAAGGCTAGAAGCGATGTGGCGCAACCGAGACATGAGTCCGTTATCAAAACCTATCTTATATTTGCACACACGGTAAATACCGGACCCAGCAAATATTAGGCTAGCCCAACCCCCGGAATCTTTGATTTCTTTGTAGCCACGCCAAACCGCTCTAGAGAATAATCAACAATGAGTTCTAACGTGCAGACATGAGGAAGGGGCGTTTGAACTATAGACCGAAAGAATGACTTACATCCTGTTTCTGAGCTCCTTTTCATGCCACGTTAATGTGATGCAGGCTTCTTTTAGAGCTGCTATTCGAGCTTCGGCGTTCGTATAGCTTGGGAACTCGAGACAAATTGATGCAATCCGTGCTTCATAGCATTCCACCCAGTATGCTTGCACTACTATTTCCAGAGCCCGTGATGACCGACTCTGGTCATAGTATTTCTTGCACAAACCATTGATAGCCCGAAAAACCTATAAACATCGCTATTAGGATATAACAACGCCCACTGCCCTGGTGGAAAGAATTCACACGTACTGCTTGACTGACACCAGTTCCGAGACTGAATTCTGGTCTACGGTCCTGCGCTTTAGTCAGCGATGGTGGATTTGACTGGCGTAGACTCAATGGATAACACACCGGAAACGAGACACTCAAAGTGACAGGGGAATGCACCTGCCGCCAGATCCCTGCGATAAATTTATCTATAGAAGAGGGCTGTAGGGTGGGAACAGCTGCGTCCTTTGTGGGCTTCCTGCGCTGAGGAAAGCGGGTATCGCTGTGAAATTGCCGAACTGACGGTTCGATTCTTACGTTGGACGGTCGTAGACGAGTCCCGGTGTCTGCATCGCTATCTGACCCTGAATCCTCTGTCGCCACTGCTATGGCAGATGATTTTGACGGTCGTAGCCCACTGACGGTCTTATGCCTGGGATTGTCAAAGTCATCCTTGCATGTGGACTGGGAGGTCACTGGATACCCATGGCCGGATTGCAAATCGGACTTTGACTATTCCAAGGATCTCTGTTTCAGTGACTGATAGTCTCTAATCCATCGTAACTCGCTACACTTACCGATACTGGGGACTTTAAACAGGCAACCTGGCTCGGCGTTATAGTCAGGGTCTGGTTGTTTTCCATGTTCAACCATCCCTAGAAATAGTGTTATTAATGTAGGTAAGACTTCGTCCAAGAGGTTTGCAAATCATTTCATACCAGAGGCAGCGAATTGTCATTCTTAGTGGTTATTTTCGATTCAAGACTATTCGAAGTGCATACTACTGCGTCAATACGCAGGCAGACATCATCGTGCGGGCCGAAAGAGGCCAGCGTGGAGGCTAGCCGGCTAGTGAAATCTGTATTCTCGAATAAATCAGATAACTTTTTCACGACTGGGTGGTGCACGATCGGATGCATCGTCAGTGAGTTGGTTGTTACCTAACGTGATCAGGTGCAGTCGCCCGTGCCCACAAATATTAATTCTGCCCGGGCAGAATGAGATGACTCAGCCGATTCCAAGAGAATCCAGGCTTGGCTTGGCACGACCTCACGGTGACGTGATAATGGGCTTTGGATCTTTCGGCTCTTTCATAGGAAACAGATATGTTTGTGCTGTTGGGAAGGTGAGAAAAACATATGGAATACCGGTTAGCGAGCTAGGTCGAACGATACATCGAGCGGTGCTGACCTGTGTAGATAGTAGAAATATCTATCTAGCAAAGGAAAGGGGCTTGGAATGCTGGGTGTGCGTGGAGTCCCACACACCGAGAACAGATGGCATGAGCTTTAAAACCCGAGACTCGGATGGATTTGGTTAGGGCATGTTTGGTTGGGGCCATCAGACTAGCAATTAGCACACCACTCCTGGTGGCCTCTTATAATTATATAGCCGCCCATCCTACTCGCTGCCACCATCCTTCTCTTCGTTTCCACTCTCTTATTCATAGCATCCGTGAGCAGCTGTCTACAATGCCGACATCCGAGCATCCTGAGGCGCCCTCTCCGCCTCTGCCGAGAGATAAGTTAGATGCTTCCTATACTTATGACAACCTCACGGGGTGGAAGGGCATGCGTATCCTTCGAATCGGAAGGGGAATGTACCACGATGTCCGGAGGCGTCTTCCCTATTACTGGAGTGATGTCCGCGATGCGTGGACGTATAGAACTGTCGCCAGTATCATACGCATGTACTTTGTGAAGTGGGTTACCTTAGCTCGCGACCAAACTCAAGGCTAATACATGTTCTCTAGTATGCTCCCAGCCATAGCGTATACACTGGATATGCATCGGAGAACTGGGCAGTTTTATGGCATCAATGAAGCGCTCTTCTCGTCCGCCCTAGCGGCGATGGTATTTAGCATCCTTGCAGTGCAACCTCTCACCATCGTCGGTATTACGGGGTTGATTTCTTTGTTCAACTACACCATATATGACATTATAAAGATCTACGAGCCCTCTATATACCCCCAATTTATGTGTTGGGTGGGTATATGGGGAGCTATATTCCATTGGATTGTTGCTTTGTGCAACATGTGTGACTACATGCGCTACGCCACGGATTTCTCGAGCGAAACTTTCGGCTTCTATGTCGGAACCATCTACATCAGTCAGTTGTACTTCCGAAACACTACCTTCTTAACGTCAAGAAGAACAATACCTAACTCCGAGGCTAGGCAAGGGTGTGGAGGAACTCATCAGCGAGTTCACTAGCAAGGGGCATACCGCTGGGTTTATGAGTTGCGTGATCGCAATACTCTATTTCCTAACGATCTACAGCCTGGAGACCATTGGGTCGAGTACCGTCTGGAGGCCTGCTTTTCGGGGTTTGCTGGCGGATTATGCATACGTGGTACGTGGAGTCCAATTACGCTAGGCTACCATTCGGAATCACTTACGCTCTTTCTTGTCTTTTCTATACAGATCGGAACAATTTTCTGGGTGGGATTTTCGCACATCCCCGGTCCTCTCAAAGTTGTGGATATATCCCGTGTTCCTATCAGCAAAGCCTTTTACCCGACGCAGCCGCGAGGCTGGCTGATTCACTTTTGGGAACTGGACGCTAAATGGATTTTCGTGGCGCTGCCATTTGGATTTCTGATTATGTTGCTCTTCTATTATGATCATGTATGAGACCCTATCCGGGGAATGGAGTCTTACTCCTAGCTACGGCGCTAACTTTGTAGCTAGAACGTCAGTAGCCTGACGGCACAAGCGCGGCAATTCCCACTGAAGAAGCCTGCTGGGTTCCATTGGGACTTTTTTCTTCTTGGATGCACCACCTTTATTTCGGGCATCATTGGTATTCCTTTCCCTAACGGATTGGTTCCACAGGTATGAAAGCCAATTCGAGTCTTTGACCCTGTGCCGAAATCGTTAATAACCCATACCAGGCACCCGTACACACAGATTCTTTGACAGTATATGAAACAGATGTCCGTATTGTGCCAACTGAGGAAGGAGAGGGTGCCGAGATCCGCCGTCCGATGGTTAAGGCAACTGCGGTGGTAGAACAACGCGTATCGCATTTCGTCATGGGGCTGGCTATTATTGGCACCATGACGGGCCCCCTCCTGATCGTCCTCCACACTATGCCTGCTGCGGTGTTCGCAGGCGTATTTTTCATTGTGGGATGGGGTTCTGTTGGATCTAGCGGCATCATGCAGAAAGCGATTTACTTAATGCTGGAAGACCGTTTTGTGCAACGTGACGAACCTCTTCTGAGAGTGCAGAACCACAAGGTCCTGCTGTGGATTGCGTGTCAGCTCATTGGAGTTGCGGCCTGCGTCGCCATCTCCGAGACAATCGCTGCTATTGGTATCCTCTTTCCTCCCGTCTGGCTTCACCAAAGCGACTAACAGGTTTCCATTTCCAGGTTTTCCCGTGTTGATAATCGCTTTAATCCCATTCCGGGTGTGGATCATTCCTAAATGGTTTTCTGGGGATGAAATAGGGGTACTGGATGATATGACGGCCAACAATGAAGCCGTTCTAGCCAGCCTTGGTGGACCACCCAAATTCCCCGGAGAGGAGCGTCTTCAGGACTGCGGGATTGAGCGCCGGTACTCGGAGCAGAAGAGGGGAATCAGTAGACAACGAGCCGGCAGTTTACATCGTTGAGGCGGGTCAATTTCCCCGGGAACTGAGGACTCGCTGAACTTTGCACGTGTTGAAGGACTTCCCAACGGATGTTAATCTTATCATAGTGCTCCAAGTAGGCCGAGTTCATCACAAAGATTCCAAGCACGCTGAGCCCTTCGCTCCAAATTTTGTGTCCTACTTGCATAACAAATGCTTCGCGAATAGCGCTAATTTCTTGCTTCTTAATAGCCTGGATAACTAGTAAGATCCTACCCTCTTGCTCTATTGAATTTTTAGAGCTTCGGGAGCGTATTGGTGGCATGGTGGGTGGTTGAAGAAGAAAGGGTTAAATTAATTGACGCGTTTTGGGTGGGGTGCGTAGCTCGGTGGTGTGCGCAGCTCGGTGGTGAAATACGTTAGTTACTGTATTCTGGTTAGATCAGCAGTGGTTGCGGTTAGCTTGCTGTGGAGAATCGTGCGTCTGCGCCTTAAAGACTTCCCCTTTTGGAGAGGGGACCAAACCGTCGGCAGAAGAGGACGGAAGGCAAGCCTCGCTTCGGCAATTATTTAACAAACCCAATTATTGGCCATTATTCACTTGTTTCTTTACCACATTTTCTCGGCCCGTTTTTTTGGACCTCAATATTCACATATACCGGCCTGGGTCAAGTTAATCTGACCAGTGCATATTACAAACAATTCGTTACTGCCATTCAGCGAGTTCAAATGGCATCAGAAGCAGGAGTTGCACATATATCGGCCGGGGAACTGCACAACAGGTTTCTTGAAGGTGAAGAGCCCGGACGGCATTTTATTCTTGTCGACCTGCGGGCGAGCGATTTTAAGGGAGGGACCATCAAAGGTTCTTTGAACATCCCTATGGAAAGTCTCCCGTCTGCCATCCCCACTCTATACCATCTCTCCTCATCTACTGAAATATCGGACGTCATTTTCTTTTGCGGTAAGTTACAGCTGTAGGCCCTTATTCGGTCCTAGCCCTTGGATACTAAAATATTTCGACAGGATCTTCTTGCGGTCGCGGTCCTAAGGGCGCTGCCTTGTTTTCTGATTACGCAGCCTATCAAAGCATTTTTTCGGCTTCCAAAGGGAGTCAAAAAAACCCTCGGGGTTTTGTTCTCACTGGCGGTATTAATGGATGGGCTGAAGGAGAGAAAGAATATAGAGACTTGATGGACGGTTATGATTCTGAACATTGGACCTCTTGCTGAGGCTGATCTGATATTGTGTCTTGTTTTCGGCTGCTTGACGCGTTCTCTTAGCAAAGTGCACCTTGTTGAATAAGAGAGAATCCACAAACCATTTACGTGAAAATAAACAAGGTGTCCACATCAAGTGCCCGAACAGCGTGTATCATCAGACTGAGAAGAATGCCTCGGCCGCCAATAGCTTTCCTATCCCGTGCTCATTTTTGAATCGACCTTCGCTTCTTCTGAGTTCTTTTTAGGTCTGGTGACCGTGTTGCCATCGATGGCCATGTCACTGCACTACGTTTGCCTGGTCTGGGAATTTCGCCCCGCCTTGATGGTTACTGATTTTCATGAGTAGGTATTGTTGGCTCGGATCCCAGTCTTGCCCCTGAGGTCTATGACGAGAAGAAATATGACCCCCGTCCCACACCCTGGTACTCCTAAAATAAAATATATTATAATTTGAACTAAGTGGAAAATACGAAAGAACGGCCGAAAGGGTCCCTTGAAAGGCTGCACAGCTTCAGCGGTACACCTAGCTTGATTCAACTCGCTTCCATTTATTGGCGTTTATTATACGTCCTGAAACTGTGCTCATCATCCAAAGCCGATTGGCGGATACCAGTTGATATTTCCTTGGCGGAGAGACATGGGGCCCCGGCACTGTCCCCCAAATGCCTAAAGTAGAAATATTAAGGGCGCATGCGGATTCCGATTCTTTTAAAATCGGGTTGGACTACAAGATGCTCCATTAAATATCTCCTTTCCCCAACACACAGGCCCTTGCTTAAAATGCGACTTCCAGCGGAAATTCTTCTTATTGTGGTTAGGGTACGTGCCCCAGGCTTCTTATGCACCTAGGCAGCCTTACTGACCTCATGACTAAGCTATGCCATGAAAGGGACTTATTGAATGTACGAGCAGTGTGTCGAGATTTCAATGAATTATGTGAACCCATTATCTACCGCTTTCTTGTTCAAGACATCCAAACTCGGCGGCACTTCCATCTGCATCGAGCCGCGTCATCACGCCGAATGAATTCTATTTTACGACTCATTGAGGATGGAGCACCTGTCACGCAAAAAAATGCAGTAGGGGAGATTCCGTTACACATTGCATCGAGAAACGGTTATGTTGCTGGTGTTGAGGCTCTGATTCGTTGCAACAAAGATATAGATGTGCCTACATCTCACGGATGGACGGCATTGCAACTGGCGGCTCGGTATGGACATGACGAAGTTATCGTTATATTTCTTCGAAATGGCGCAGATCCTGATATCCATGGTTTTCATGGCTGGACTGCCTTACATTATGCTACGCGAGCGGGACATCGAAAAGCGGTTGAATTGTTGGTAGGCGCTGGGGCACGCATTGACATTCTGGATAATGACCAAATAAGCCCAATCCATCTCGCACAAACAGCTGGACAATGCGAAATATTGGAAATTTTCAATGCGGCTGTTTCATGTACAATATATAATGAATATCAATAATAGATTACGCCAAAAGCCTTAAGCTTTTGGTAATAATATCTACAACAAATGCAAGAGTAATAAACACTTGCGTCAGACGTGTCAAAGGCTAACCCGCAAAATATAATCATCGTTGGAACTTGGCCTGAGGAAGTCAACCCCTGGAAATCTGGGACAGTGAGTGGATAGGATCACCACAGATATGACCAGGCTTGCTTTTGCCATGCCCAGTGCCTTGTTGCAGTGTTTCATTTTAATCAGGAAGTGGGGTATGGGGGAAGACGATAAATAGCTCTTATTGGCTAGCAGGTCATAACCTCAACCCGTCATTTCTTAATCAGGTAACTCGAAAGGCGTGGATGAGTCATCAATCCGGTCCAACCTTCCTTGGAAGGTTTCCACGCAGGAACATTTGAACATTATCCAAACGCTCCGCTATGTCGGATAATGAGCTTCCCTCATCTTTTTTGAATGAAATTGATTTGCAGTTCTCACTGTTCCCCGATTTACCTGATTTAACGAACGATGATGGGCTGGCACTGAGCCCACTGGATCGCTGGAAGAACTCCCCGCCAGAGACAGAAGCTGTTGAATTGAGTGATATAGTGAACTCTATCAGACTCAGCAACAGCCAAGGAACATATACGATGCGACAACATCCTCAAGGGGCAACTTTTTCAGAACGCGGTCATCGACAGTCTCACCGGTCAACATCATCAGTTGCTGCGTCCGACTCAATCAGGTCTAGTGGCTCGAGCAGCTCAGCGTCATCAGCCCATAGCTTTGTGTCGAACCTATCGGGCTCCTTTGGACGCTTTTATGCGGGACTACCAACACGGCGCCGACGCAGACGCCAACGTAAAAAGTCACCTGTGTCTCGTGGTCGTACTCAATCACCAAGACGGCTTTACCAATGCACGTTTTGCACAGACATGTTCAAGTCAAAACATGATTGGGTAAGGCATGAGAAGAGCCTGCATCTGTCGTTGGAAAGTTGGACTTGCGCGCCATTCGGACCGACCTATGCGATTGAAGGTGCGACTCTATCAAGATGCGTCTATTGCGATATAGAGAATCCATCCGACACCCATGTTGGTGACCATCGCTTCTGGGAATGCCAGCAAAAGCCATCCGTCCTCCGAACGTTTTATCGAAAAGACCATCTAATCCAGCACCTGCGCTTGGTGCATGGAACCGAGAACGGTATTTCTCGGGTGGAAACATGGAGGTCAGAAGTGACACATGTTAATTCACGATGTGGCTTTTGTAAGGAAACTTTTACTCGGTGGACGGACCGGAATAATCACCTTGCAGCCCATTTTCGGGAAGGTCTCCTCATGAAGGACTGGAAAGGCTGTCGCGGTCTTGATCCTGCGGTGGCCCTTGCCGTAGAGAATGCCATGCCGCCCTATCTCATTGGTGCTGAATCTACTGGCATCAACCCCTTCAGTGCTTCAACACGATGTCCAAATTCGCGTAATGACATCGATCGGAGTCCCAAGAATGAGTCTTGTTCACACCGAAAAGGATATATCCAGCCAACTCCATTCGAACAGTTGACAGAACGCTTGATTCGCTTTGTACGAGAAAGACAGGCGATTGGAGTTCCCGTAACCGATGACTCTATCCAACATGAAGCACGGTGTTTTGTCTACGGCGATGAAGATCCGTGGAATCAAACTGCAGCAGATAGTGCAGAATGGCTGAAATTGTTTAAAGATGGAATGGGCTTAGGCCCATCTTTGTCCACAACGACTAACGATGCGGCCGCGGTCTTGCCAAAGTCATCTTTTCCACTCCCGTGGACAACAAACACAACGGGTACCAACGAGCCACAGAGCCCACCTAAATCTTGTGTCCACGTTGCACCGCCGGTTGACCCGTGGATGCCTTGGGCCTGGCAAAGCCCTGAATGCCTTGCGGAATTCCGCAGGTCTAATGATCCTTCATGACCTTGTCCCATGCCACAATAGAAATGAGGCGATCTCAAAGCGCCATTAGTAATACAAAAATATAACTATCGGGTGAGGTTTATTGGAGACCAAATTACTGCTTCTATCGTTGAGGGACCTAATTCTAAGAGCAAACAGTGAAATACATATTATCCAACCAAAGTGCGAAACCTTCGGATTGGTATCTTTTTAGCTTCCATTTTCCTCAAACAAGGAAACAGTTTGGAGATCATAGTCTTTTTTTTGCCCTTGTGAGAACGCAAAACAGTAAAAGAAAATGTAAGGATTTGTCAATATTGAGGCATTCCAGGTCACGACGTTCTACAGATCTATTATTGTGGATAGCACTGTGCATCGTTCAACCCCTTTTTCGTCCAGCTTCCTCCATACTTTCAATGCTCCAACTCCCAACCCGCCCAAAAAGGCCATTCCAGGCCCTTCCCCTACTCACTATCCCAAGGACCTAGACTTCAAACTCCTAAACCATGCTATGCGTTAATAGCGTCACCCTATATATTCAACTTCACCTAACTAGGCAATATTCTGGTTCAAGACATTAGCTATAGGGTATAGTTCTTTACTAAATTGACTAAAAATATCCACTGACTTTAGATAACAGTTAAAAGGCTTTAAATCCGACTTAGCAACGATATGAAAAAAGGTTATCTAGATCTTAATAAACCATGTTAAGAAGGCTAAAGTCCAAAATGTAATTAAAGATAAATTTTCCGATAGTAATGTTAAGTTAATAAATCAAAAGGCCTTGTTGTTATCGCTTCTCCTGTTATTGCTAACGGTATCAAAGTCTTGTAAGAGGACGATTTCTTTCATAGTCCAAGCCATTGCATGTTACTGACGAGACTGTTAATGACGTAGGTGCCGCCCGACGGTTTGTACGCGACATCGGCCATTGGTTGAAGCGACGCGGCGAAAGTTGCTTTCAAAGTGCAGCCGCGCTCAAAGAGCATTGTAACCATGCTCTGCCATCCAGTCATCATTGGCAAACTTTGTCAGATAGTTACGAAGACTATCCGGCAGTATAACGACAACGAGCTTGTCTTCCGCGTTGAGCTCGGGACGAGCTTCGACTACCTGGACCAGTGCGGCAATAGTCGCACCCGAGGACCCTCCACAGAGAAGCCCTTCCTCTTGCACAAGGCGTCGTGCATACTGGAAAGAGTCGCGATCAGAGGTTTTGATCCAGAGGTCGGGCTCAGCTTGGTCCAAGACCTCTGGCACAAAGTCGTACCCGATTCCTTCAACCTTGTATTCCGCTTTGAGATTGTTAAGCTCGTCTGGCTGAGCAAGAACTGATCCAATTGGATCGACCGCCACGCACAGGATATCCTTGCTGCGTTTCTTAAGACCTCTTGTTGTGCCCGTAATGGTACCTCCGGTACCAGCTCCGCTGATTAAAACATCGATCTGTCCTTCTGTCTGGTACCATAACTCCTCCGCGGTCCCAAACTCGTGCACGGCCGGATTATCAGGGTTTGTGTATTGATCCAGGATGAAAGAGTTCGGGATCTCCTTCTGAAGACGCCGTGCCACGCTGATGATAGAGTCCGGAGAGTCGATGGGAACACCGGCTGGAGTACGAATGACCTTCGCTCCTAAAGCTTTTAAAATCTGCTCCTTTTCAAGCGACATCTTTTGCGATAGTGTGATGATGCATTTGTAGCCCCTGATGGCAGCCATCAAGGCAATAGCGATTCCACTGTTCCGTCATATGGCTATGGCATTAGCCCTCTCGCTTACTGCTCGTACCACCGCTTTCAGACTCACGTGTTGCCACTTGAAGCCTCAATTAACGTATCTCCGGGTTTGATCGTCCCATCTCTTTCCGCTTTCTCAACCATGCGTTTGGCGATGCGGTCCTTCACTGAACCACCCGCATTAAAGTATTCGAGTTTCGCATACACCTGTGCTTTAATACCAATCGCAACGGGGAGGTGGTTGAGACGGACCAATGGCGTAGCTCCAATGCAGTCTGCGACAGAATCCTTCTTAAGTTGGCCGAGAAACGGCGCGGTCTTGTTTGTTTCTTCCATTGGATTTTCTGATTCTTGCCATTGTGAATTCATCTTTTATAGTAATAATCGATTAAATAAGGGCTATTCCAAAACTCTTTTGAAAGCGATTCCAGTTTAGGAAACCAATAGGGCGCAGTTTCACAAGTCTTCCCAAAGAGGAAATCGCAAGGGCTCGATCGGCGCCAAGGCTTTCTGGGCACGGACCACCATTCCCTACGCTATCACTGACGTCATGCACTAAGAAACGTGGGAAGAATACATATTTGGATGGCTAAGCAGACCGTCATAGTGGATGCTTTGGCAAAGAGTGGCTCGTCCACCATTTAGCAAAGAAACCAATATGGCGTACCGTATCAAATGGAAACTCCGGGTGACCGAGAAAAAAATGGAGTAGTTGCCCCACATCAAGGGAGCGCCTTAAAAACGACTCAGACACCCAATTCTTTAGGACTTCCTTTGATGTTTTTCCATTAAACTATTCACCTATCAGTAAACGTGACAGACACTTGAAATGACGGTTCCGCCAGAACAGCTTCAGACCCCCGAGGGTCCGTCTCGCCTGATCAAACACTTCGAACAAAGGTATGGGATTTTTCATGTTCAATATTTAGACTGAGAGAGGTCTGACAGCTCGCAGTTCGATCGAGGACCACAATGATGCATGGAACAATCTATGGGAGACTGATAACAGTGACATGTGGGACAGAGGGAAGCCCTCACCTGCCTTGATTGACCTTCTGGAGCAAGGAGAGGACATCTTGAGCCCACTTGCAGCTAACGGCCAGAGGAAGAAGATTCTCGTACCTGTAAGAGCTCTTTTTTTCTATTTCTCACAAATGCAGGAAACTTACTCTGCGTAGGGATGCGGAAAAGGCTACGATGTTGTTATGCTTGCTCTACATGGATTTGACGCTGTTGGGCTCGAGATCTCATCGAAGGGAGTTTCTACTGCGGAGTATAATACACACAAAGAACTTCAAATGCCACAACCGTACAATTTCGGGTCTGCTTGGGCGAGTAAGTTTGAAAGAGGCTCGGTATCTTTCATCCAGGGTGATTTTTTCCAATCGGACTGCACGAAAGGGGAGAAGTTCGACGTAATTTATGACTACACTGTAAGTCATCCATGGGGTCTATCGGCCTCAGCACACAAGCTAACCCAAGCCAGTTTCTCTGTGCTCTTCATCCGGAAATGCGTTCTCAGTGGGCCTTGCGTATGGCTGACTTGTTGTTTTCCGGTGGCCTTCTGGTTTGTCTGGAGTTTCCTCTCTTCAAAGAACTCAGTCATCCAGGCCCACCATGGCCCTTACAAGGCGTCCACTGGAACTTACTGGCTGAGGGCGGTGATGGAATCCTGCATCCTCTTAAACCAGCCCAACAGGTGGGAACAGGTTCTTTCGAGAGGAAGTGGTATATTAAGCCCGAGAGGTCGTACGAGAGCGGGAAGGGAACCGATATGTTGAGCATTTACGTAAGGAAGTAACCGCCAAACGATTAGAAATTACATCCTTTGAATGTCGCATCAATACAAGCCATTCTTCTCATTGAATATACTGTAACATTCAAAGTAAGAACTTGGCGCAAGTTTCATTCAGCGTGAGATTTACCCAATAAAGAAAAGCGGGGAAGGTGTTAATTCGTCCGAAGTGTTAGTATGAGAGACTTTATTTCCGAAATCGCTGCTCACTACCAGACACATTTAATGCTGATAAATTGCGCCCTGTCGATTTCCTTTCGGGGAATCAGCGTCCTTTACCTCTCGTGAGTGTTACCCTTTAACTAAATTCGGCCAAGTTATCTTGTTCAAACCGTAAATACATCTCCCTTTTTTTCTTCAAAAAGAGTAAAACCTTTCTTCTTCCCCTGAGAACTGTTTGCAAGATGGGAGGCTTTGGTACCCGTGCTATTTGATCAGACCTACCGCGTGACGCCGGTACAAGTGCCCTGGTAGAACCCGTAAGTACAACAAGAGCATTCGGAATAATTCAAAGCTCAAGTGGTATCTATCTAGATATTCCTTGCCACGACCTTTGCTCAGCATCGTGTTAGGTCTCCCACAGGCTCTTATATCCATAGTCGCTCTGCAAATCCGAACCGGGAAAGCTTCGAGAAAGCTATCGCTGAATAAGAATCCGCAGAGTATGGAGGTCATGCTAGGGGATACAAACAAAGCGGGCTCTGTGGCCTTTATATAGGTAAGGCTCTACATCGGGTCGATGATTAGCTTCCAATCCACTTCACCTGTGGGTGGGCAGATGACTCCTGGATTACCACGTCCAGAAGAGAAGCTAGACCTGATCCGACGATCAATCTATTCGTAGGAATATCTAGGTGTGCCAAAATCGTGGTGCTTCCCACGATAGACTTGATCCGAGGGTCGAATAGGCCCGGGTGGAGAAATACTGCGTCTGGAGATCACAACTACACAACTCAAACTCATCGTGCAATAAATTCATTGAAGTAGCTTATTCTATGTATTCAGATAATGATTGGATGCAATCTCTGACCAAGGATGGGAGAACAAATCACGAATTGCAAAGGTTTTCCTTCAGGTTAAAGTTTCGCTTTGGTCTTACGACTTCGTTTAGGTCGCTGCGGTGTATCTTTATCAAACTGCTGCAGATCCTTGTCTGTCACTAGTATTGGGGTTGGATAGTAGGAGTTCTTGATAGGTCAGTCGTCTTTCATCTGAGCCATAGCTGGAGACATACCAATTGCGAGCGAAGGAAAGCCCAAAATCCCGAAGTATCCGCTGATAAGATATGTACCTGGCCCGTCTCTCAATTCCCACGCATACGTCTGCACTCCACATTTTACTATATTCATATGCCTTTTTCATCAGACTTGATTTGCGACGGCATCGTTTTTGCCGCATCAATTTTCGTTTCGAGGTGACTTCCTTGGACCTGGTGAAATTGATAGCGGCCATTGTGAGTGGTTGCCTTGATATCTGGGGGTACTTTGGGTGGTAGGAACCTATATAGAAACGCAAACGCCCTGATAAATTCAAAAAGATAGGATTTAACCAGGTGCCCTAGTTTTTTAAAAAAATCTGTTCAATATTTTAAAATAGACTTGCCGTTCGTTTCGAACTTTCAAATCCGTAGGAAATTTGAAAGTCGGACACATGCATTATCAATTCAAAGTGGAACGAGACCGATCTGACCGCAATTAAATGATAAAATCGTAGGGAGAGGAAAGTATTTATTCACCATTAACGCGCGGGTTCAACGTAATATCCAACGTGAGGAAAATCGGCGGGCAGTGAAATTGTGACCAAACGTTCGTTGAACGAGGGCGTGCCAAAGTGGTGTATGTAAAGCAAGGCTGAAAAGATTGGCTAACTGAGAGCCCCTTCCTCACCTGAATCGCAGGTCCACGGCCATCCAGGTTAGTAATCCAACCAAGTCGCCAGTTGGTGGATACTGAGCCTAGCTGGCCCATGGTCCGTGGCTCATAAGCCGCCTGGGACTATGGGCCATAGCCTTGGGAACAGTGACTGCGGTTTGGGGACCAGTATCTGGGCAAGCCAGTGGTCGAGTGACGCACGTCCAATGCCGGGGAGCTATGGTGGGAGGGCTGTGGCTCCATAGGCAAGGGCCCAGAGCAGCCGATCTGGGGCCAAGTACTTCGGGCTGTTGATTTGAGTCCAAGCTGGACGTACGTCCATAGCTCTAGGTCTAGCTTGGCTCCAGGTCCATTGACTGACGGCCGCGACAGCACAGTGACTGTAGAGGCTCAAAATCTTCAGACTACGCTCTTCACAAGATTGAAACCCTGAGAGGTTTGTCTCCCCTATAATTTTTAGTGTCGCGCTCATTGCCCCACCCGGGTTTTCCAGCCAAACGCCGAGTACCGTTCATCTGCTCCTCCATCAAGGCCTACATCGAGATCTCGTGGTCTCCAAACCAGCGGACGACGATAGCTGGAAAGGACAGGATGGCCCTGAACCGAGGGAATTTGCTAAAAGCTTCACTCAAGCAGAACAAACAATAATATTCGGATTCAGGCCAAATAACTGGGACGTAGCGGAGCTTAATTTTCGGTAAGCAGGTCTTCGACAAGCAGCCTGACTAATGCAATGTATGCTTCTGTCGCTGTACAAAATACTATAAAGCTCAAAATACAGAAACTTTTCCCCGTGTATTTCCAAAACTACCCTTCTGAAAGCTATGCAATTTCATCTGTTCACGTCCACCGAAATGAGCACATCGCCGTTTTGTCTGAAATTAAATAATCAGAAATTTTGTAAAATCCAAAGCGTTCCTAGTGTCTTCTGTACAGTCGGATAGAGAAGCTAGAGGTGTGACCTGATCACATGCTATTATCAGTCCCCGTCCAGAATATTTTTCATGATGCCAAACTTACATTGGGTACCAGTGCACAAGATCTCCTCCTGCTTCCCTGTTCAACAAATATGTCACTATCAAAAGCAGAACCTAACAACGCCTTTTTCGAGGAGCTAGGCTGGGAGATGTCATCTTCTAACGGTTGGGGAGGCGGATGTCCTTCCAGAGCCATTTGTAACCTGAGAGTGAGCCATTGTGCGTGGCACAAGCATCTCTGATTTGCCATGTTTTAATTGATGAGGTGCGTATCTTGTGTGGAGATGTTAGACAGTGAAGAGATTAACAGAACTGCTATGAGGGAAAACCCCAGTCTTATATCTTGTAAGAACCACAGACAGCGCCATGAGAGATGATGACGCGAAGGTAGCTATGAACAGGTACCTGAAGTGGCAAGCTAGGCCCATCTAAGCCACCAATTATCTTCACCTTTCCCAATTTTCTTCGTGCTCATTGGCGGTAGCCATGTGAGGATGAACAAACATTCCCCACCATTAATGACCTTCCTAGGAACAAAGCCTGCGATAAGCAGTTGTTCAGAGTTATGCCTATTGATGCAAGGGGTTGTATCTTTGGTAGAGGAAAGATTGCTGTCTCTGCTGGGCGAAACCTGCTGGCCTAAAAAATTGGTCGACAAGTAGACACCATTTCGTCCGGGAACAAACAGGGAGGGCAATGGCTCCCGTGATGTAGCACCGCAGAATATCGATGCACTGGTTTCATTCTATATGGCTCAGGCACAAAACCGAGGTTCGACTTTTGGTTGCAAAAACACCAAACAAATGAAGAACGGCCACGGTGGCCAGTCAGGTCGACCAGGAGAGGCTCGCAAATTGTACCACAACAGCAAACGGAAAGGTCTCTGCAAGGGAAAATGCCATGTTCTTCTCCAGCATGATGCAAAGCAATGGAAGCAGACTCCTCAAGGGTCTCATCGTCTTCAGGGGGGATACGGCGGGGATAACTTTCAAAACTTAAAGACAAATCGGGAGGGAGCTTTGAATCATTTTTTCGGTCTCGCTGAGGGGCGGACTAAGCTACTGTTCATCAATGTGGAGCTGCCATGATCTGTCACCGGGCCTAGAGGAAGTAACAGGATGCTAAAGAAAATGACCGCGGTAATATTCCAGGGAAGAATTGAACAGTTTAATTGACCGCGACTTGCTAGGTTTGGATCTCGTTTTCCCCACAGTGCCATTCTGTGGTTGGTTATTTAGGTTCAAAACTGTTTACGTTTAATCTCTCCAGTTTCCTTCACGTCTGAACCGACCTCGTCGATAGGGATAGATCGTTCGGGTAGTTATAATGTAATGATCGTTGTCCCGCTCTTATAAATGCATACTTGAATATTTTCCACAAGGTTTATTTCTCACATCACAGGCCGGCTATGGAAAAACAGAAGAAATTCTACAGCGACGTCGTCATTATCGGAGCAGGCTTGTCGGGTATCGATATGGCATGCCAGCTCCAACGGCAATTACATGTCAGCGACTATGTGATTTACGACCGCGCTCGAGAATTAGGTGGAGCCTGGGCAGCGAACAAATGTGATGTTTCCTGCCCCTTCAAAGTGTATTGGCTGACAAACTGCAGACCCCGGATGCAGTGTTGATATACCCGGCGCTTTGTATTCGTTGTCATGGTTCCCGAACCCGGACTTTACCAGTCTTTTTCCATCTCAGAAAGAGATATTGTCCTACATCCAACGCGTCGCTTGCGTGAACCATGTCAATGAACATGTGAGGGTTCAGACTGAGTGGAAAGGTGCCCAGTGGGTAGAAGCCTCTGGTACATGGCATGTGTATCTCTGCGATTTGAATACGGAAGAGGAATTTCTTCACGAAGCCAAAGTCTTGATCTCCGCTGTTGGGGGTTATACAAACCCCAAGCTCCCCGCTTTGCCTGGGTTGGAGAAGTTTGAAGGCCCCGTGGTGCATACTGCCAAATGGAGTAAAGAGTACGACCTCCGAGGCCTCAACGTGGCCGTGGTGGGTAACGGATGTTTGTTCACACCTTATGACGCGCCTAGCAGTGGCATTGAAATAACATCCTGTAGGCTCTGGCTCACAGGTAGTTCCTGCTGTAATTGATGAAGTCAACAGCCTGACGCAGTTTATTCGGGTAAGTGTTCCATTCCAGGGAGCTTGCTCGATTGTTCCTGACTCTGTTACATGCGAGTAGAGCCCACAACATTATGTCCCGATGCCCATAGGCAACTATCGATTTGGAAAAGCACTGCGCGCTTGTTTCTCCTATATTCCGCTGACCTTGTTGCTTATCCGTTGGCTGATCTTTTGGATTCTTGATACAACCCTTGCGCAGTTTTACGACAGTTACAAAGGGAAAGGAATAAGGGAAGAGAGAGCTTCTTACAGTCGGAAGTATATTACAGAGAACGCCCCTGGTAAGTATGTGGCAAACTGTGTTGCCCACCTAATGCTGACTGGATCCTTTTAGAGCGATACTGGCCTTTGCTCACGCCTGGCTATGACCTTGGATGCAGAGTAAGCGAGAGTTTGAACTGTGTTGGGCTGCTATTAACACTGTGTGCAGCGAAGGATACTGGATAATCACTACATACGGTCGCTTCGCAACCCTAGAATGAAGTTGATCAAGGACTCGATTGCACAAGTTGACTCGAAAAGTGTGACAACAGGTTCAGGCGACAAATACCCGGTTGACTTCATCGTGAGATGCACGTGGATGAGTGTGAGGTAATAACGCAAGCTGACCTACTTCGTAGGTTCTCGCGACGGGGTTCGAGTTCACACAATGGAAAGCCAATGAAGTGATAGGAAGGCAAGGAAAATCTCTGAAACAGCACTGGGACCATCGAGGTGGCATTGGCGCTTACAAGACTGTGGCGATGAACGAATTTCCTAATATGTTCTACTTGCTGGGTCCGAATGCTGGCAGTGGACACACATCTGTCCTTTTTGCGATGGAGTGGTGAGTGCTGCTATCTGGCAATGCTTCGTGGATATCAGCTGATCTTCATTGCAGCTCGGTCAACCTTGTTATTGCACGTCCTATACTCCAGCGACAGGCATCGATTGTCGAGGTGTGCAAAGGGGCTGAGACTGAGTGGTGTGACACCATACAGACTGCTCTCAGCAAAACGGTATTAGCACGCAACTGTTCAAATGTACGTTGTTTCTTGACTATTCGCATTGAATCATTAATCGCCAGCTAATAATCTCCAATATAGCAATATGTCGAGTACCATGCATAATGCATGATGGAAATTACAAGGTCTTTACAAACCGGAAAATCGATGGACCGTCATGATAACGGTACCATACAAAAATACATACATTGCTTAATCAGCGATGTCCGCATAGATTGGAAAAAGGAGCGGACTTTGTCATTTTAGTTAGTTAGAGAATTTTACATATGTCAATTTTATATACATGGTTGTACCCGTCGATTTCTGTCACAATATACCGACCCGAAGAGTGGATGGAACTTCTTTTCATACCCTTTCAGCTCATTGAGTTTCTGGATTGGCACGCGGTTTCCCACAATGAAGCACTGGGAGTATCGGTAGTCGTTATAGTTAGTCATCTGGGACCAGATGCTTTAGTGCGTATGGTCAGCAGGCTTGGATCTGAGGACAATCTTTTTTGGTTTTGTTACACCATAGTCTGGGTTGGATCATTTTAGCCCTTGCCAAAAATCCACCAATCCTCGCATTTCCGCCGACTTGAATAAGAAAGTCAATAAGATATGATGCTGCCAAGCAGTTGTTTGGCGTGCTGAATAATGTTTATTTTGCCCCCGAAGACGATTACCAATGTATTCCAAGACAGTTTGAAGATTTCAGGTGAATAGATTACATAGTGGAACACATTACTTGTTCATCTCAATCAGCGAGCTGAATGGGGAATGGTGGTGAAGAGACGTAAATTTCATTCCCCATCAGTCTCGTAGGTGTGTCCGCTAAGGCCGCACGGATTTGATGTCCTAGGTATTTAAGAGGAGGTAAAAAAAAGAACGGTGGACTAAGTGGCTGCCATGAATCACTCCAACTCACCTTGACCTTGGATCGTGCGAAACCAAAATGTATCCACTTCGTTGTGATCCATAAGTCCTAGCTACTGTTGCGTAAATGATGTTGGTTCGAGGCAAAGTGTAATGTAGTTTATTGATACTATTTCATTCTACTAGATTGACGTCCGCGACCTTGCTGAAATGCATATAGCTGCACTCACAAACCCAGCTGCCGCCAATAAGCGCTTCGTTATTGGACATCCGCTGTCGTTCGACGAGATAGCTGAGTACCTTCGCAAGCTTCCTGAATTAGAGGAACGTATTGGGGAAAACAGTGGGATTATTCCCCCGGTGCCACGCTTTGACATTGAAGAAGCCGTTGAGGTATTCGGAGACTTGGCTCGAGGGAGGTCTAAGGAGCAGACATTTATTGATACAGCTAAGCAACTCCTTAAGCTTGAACGGGCTATACCAAAAGCAGAGAACACTGTATAAATTAGTTTTGGAATGGAAAGTGTTGCTTATACAATATGGCTTATACACTACACATCGGGTGGATGCGTATTCCAGTATGGTCCCTTTATCATCGGATTGTAGATCAATGTTCACTTAAGAACTCTCCCAACCAATACACGCCCCATGCCCGTTCATGGACACTCTTATTTGATTTTTGGTCGCTCGTGTTCTAAATAAAGATTACGGCCAACCAAAGAAAAGGCTGGGCTTCCGTCGTTAAATTGTCATCAACCTCCTTTCTTATTTTGTGATTGTAGCATAATTCAGTGTTCACATTTGAACAAAGGGCCGCTTTTTCCGGATGAGGTAATAAATTAGTATATGATGTCAAGTACTATGCATTTATGCATGCTGAAATTACCAGGTCTTTACAAACCGGGAAATCAATGGACCGTCATGATAACGGTACCATACAAAAATACATACATTGCTTAATCAGCTATGTCCGCCGAGATTGGAAAAGAGCGGATCTTGTCATTTTAGTTAGTTAGAGAATTTACATATGTCAGATTTACCATACATTGTCGTATCCGTCTATTTCTGTCAGTTATGAGCCCGGCTTCGTTCCAATTAAGATCTGTCTACAACATATAGACCATCTTTTACCTAGCTGTCGCCGATTCACAGTGGTTTTGACAACGGTCAACCCCTGAATCGTCGAAGCACCCCTATCTCCTTCGAAGAAGATCAGATTCATCGACGAAAATCGACAATAATGAATATCATGTCAAGCCTCTCCGCGGCCTCCTCCCGCGTCATTTTGAAGGATACAGAATCATGGGATGCATGGCTCTCATATATTAAAGCAATTGCAGTTGCATATAAAGTATGGGATCAATGCAATCCGTCTCTTAAGGAGGAAGAACGTCCTAAATTGGAACCACCTGAAGAGATCATCTCTGTCAAAGATGCCATAAAAGAATACCCAGAACACTGGTTCAATGTGAGGCTATCCCTAAAAGCAGATTGGGATGCAGAGAACAGAGCCTATCAGTCGAAACTACAGGCATTAGATCTAGTGGCGGTGGCAATTAGGCAGTCAGTTGATACTCCCTACCAGCCCTTTATCATTGATATACCATCACCTTTGGAGCTGATGCTCAATCTCCACAAACGATTTGCACCAGAGAGCGATCCTACATACAAAACTAAGCTCCGTCAACAGTGGCGGAACCTAGATAGAGGCCTAGATCGGAACACCGATATCGAGAAATGGCTTCTAAACTGGGAATCGCTTTACCAATCGTGTAAGAAGGCAAGGATGCCAGAAGCAGAGGATGCCACGAATCAATTCCTTGAAGCAATCTCTATAATGTCGCCTGGATTCTATGAAACATGGGCTCTCAGAGTACAGGATAATCAGGACATCCCTTTCTTCGAAATCATGACTCGGTACAAAGCCCACTGGAAGATTACCCATGGCAGGCCGGCTGCGCAAAGAGGCATCTCAAAGGCTGCTTTCTCGACATGGCAAGGCAATGAAGAAGCAAAGCCTATAGAGGCAAGGAATGATGGCCTAGAAAGAAGGCCATGTCCATGTGACAGGGTAAAATCGAGAGTTCATATGCCTTGGGCCTGCTGGGAAATCTATGAAGATAGAAGGCCTGCTAATTACCAGCCCTCACCGGCATTGAAACAGAAGTGGGAGAAGGCCATGAAGGCTAATCCTAGATGGAAGGCAATTGTCGACAAGAAGCGAGCTGCATATGCAGAAGGCCAAGGGGGACCCTTGCTAAAGAGCAAGCGAATACAACCCTCGACGATGAAGCCTTTGGCTTCTTGACAACCAACGCAGTCAAAATTGACACCGTTATGTCAACAAAAATCAAGGATTTTGAAGCCACAACTACACCTACAGAAGACAGATGGGTAGTTGATACAGGTGCTCAAATCCACGTATGCAACAATCGGAGCTTGTTTAGCACCTTTAAAAGCGTACAGAGCAACGTCAAAGTGGGAGATACAGAGACGAAGGTGGCCGGTATAGGCACTGTGGTCATCTATGGTGTAAACCCTACCACTGGAAGCGCCGTTAAGATGAACCTATTTCAAACTAGGTACTCGCCAAACTTCCATAGTAATCTGATATCTCATGGATTGATGATGAAGGGGGGCCTATTAATGAATCTCAGAGCAAACTGCATTGAGACAATTGATGGCCATCGTCAGATCTATAAGATCTACCACGATCAGAAGCTATCATGGCTCACCCAGACAAGGGGTTTTATAACCCAAAAGGCATCAGATTTGAAGCCTGAAATGACGTTTGCCACTAAGAAATCCAATCAGGAGCCAAAATCTGAGGCTTCAATTGAGCTCTGGCATCGTCGATTAGGCCACATTGGCAAGGCGCGAATTGTCAAACTGGCAGAGATGACTGAAGGAATCACTATTGCAAGCAACCCAGGCAAAGAAATGCAGGTATGTGAAGCTTGTCAATTGGCAGATGCACCTAGGCAAATCTCTCGCCGGAAGATAGGCCAGGCATATGGTATATTAGGGAGAGTACACTTCGATCTAGTACAAAACCAGCCTGCCTACAACGGTCATATATGGATGACGCACTTCTATCTCGATGGAATAAGGTGTCACTTCGTATTTACCCATATAAAGAAGAGCGAGTGTCAGATGGCAGTTCGTAAATTCTTAGCATTGATCCGAAACTGGTTGAAAATCGAGATCAGGGTATTTCATTATGATAATGAGAGAAGCGCCGGCAATGAGGTTGAATCTATGATTGAAGACGAAGGGTGTACCATTGAGCATGCACCACCTGGCTTGCCAGAGATGAATGGACCAGCAGAGAGATCTGGAGGCATGATAGTAAGGAACGGCAGAGCATTGCTCAATGGTACGAACCTACCCCACAATCTATGGCCAGAGACGATGTATGCATCTGCATATATGATGAATCGTACCCCTACAAAGATGGATGGTAAGTGGATCATACCATGGAAGGAATTGATGCGCTATGCGGCTCCAGATGGCTTAAAAGATCAAATTGTCAACCTGTCGAATATGAGGCTATATGGGTGCTTAACGTACTCAAGGCTTCTGAAGAGAGTACAATCTAACAAGATGGCTCCGAGAGCAGAGATCGGCTATCTTGTAGGCTATGTTTCAAAGAGCCTATACAAGATCTGGTTTCCATACAAAGGGCGAGCAGGCATAGGCAGAGTTGAAGTTGTAAGAGATGCTGTATTCGATGAATCGAGACAGTACTCTAAAACGAAGCCTTTACCGCAAGAAGAAGATGCAATTAGTACTATGACAAATGGACTAAGCGCTAAGAACTGGCCCCAAGTGCTCTCAATGGAAGAAGCGCAGTCAGAATTGAGCATAGAGATGCGTATGCCGATGTCAATTGCTCGCATAACTCTCAATGATGACGTCGAAAACCGAGAACAAGGTACTGCACCAGAGGCGGTAAATGAAGAAATCCAGGAATCTAGAGTTGTGGAGCAAGCTCAAACTCTAGATAGTAGGGAGGAGACACCAAGGGTCCCCCCTTTAAAGGAAACACCTGTTTTACCTTTAACACCGGCTTCAATGGCAGGCCCTGCTTCAGTGGTAGAACATATCTCAATGATAGAGGTAAGGGATCAAGAACAGATCCCTGGGAGCTTCCCTATGTCACCACAGAGAGCCTCACCACAAAGAGCACTATCGTCGATTGCTACGATTGAGAGTACGCCACATGAGAGATCTCCTACCTCGCTATCTTCGCCAGATCCGATCAATGTCATACAGTCGATCGAAGCTGAAGGGGGAGAGGGAGATCAATATGATGAAGATGAAGCAGAGATAGAGCGTCAATTGCAACAAGAGATGCAGTATACGCCTACTCCAGAGCCAGAAGATCGGCCTACTAGAGAGATCTCTGCGTCAATTGATGAATCTAACATCATCTCAGGCCCCAGAATACGGAAGCCAAAGGCAGATCCAGACTACACTGCATATCTATCGCTAGACGAGAAACAGCTAGCCGAGCCACCAAGCCTTCTATATGCCTTTACAACAGGTATTACGAAGAAGCTCAATATGCAAAACAGACTGCATAGAGATCAGATGCCTCCACCACCAGAGAACTGGAAGCGGCTAAAAATCCATCCCTTTGCCACGCAATTGAAGGCAGCTGCGGAGTTTGAAATTGAGACCTTAAAGGCTAAAGAGACCTTCTCTCAGGTTGCATTACCGAACAAAAAGAGCACCCAGATCTTGCCATTGAAGTGGGTATTTACATACAAATTTGATGCAGATGGTATGCTCGAGAAGTTCAAAGCAAGAATCTGCGTGAGAGGAGATCTACAGTGGATGTCAACTGAAGAAAAGAGAGCTGCTACACTAGCTGTCAAAACAGCGAGAGCAGTATTCGCACTAGTTGCCGCCTTTGATCTAGATATGATTCAGAGAGATGTGGTTACCGCATTCCTGAATTCAATGCTAGAAAGCGAGGTTTATACCAAGTGTCCACCAGGCTTCGAAGCACTAAATCAGTGCTGGCTCCTGCATAGAGCCCTCTACGGATTGCGCATGTCACCAAGGCTTTGGCAGCAAGAAGCTACAAAGGTGCTAGTAAAACTAGGCCTTACCCCAGTGGAAGAAGATCCATGCATCTTTACAACCAAAGGCATTATTGTCTTTTTCTACGTGGACGATATCATCATCGTCAATCACCCCAAACAGGCTAAAGAAGCCGCTTTACTAGATCAAAATCTAAAGAAGCAATGGGAGCTTCGAGAACTGGATGCAAGCTGGTTCTTGAATATACGTATTATACGTGATAGAGAGCAGAAGAAGCTCTGGTTATGCCAAGATAGCTACATCGAGAGCATGGCACACAAATACAATCTCGTCACAGAGAGAAAAATAGGGTCCCCACTGAGCATTGAGCCTCTAGTACCCTATGATGGGGTGGCATCACCGCAACAGATTCATGGTTTCCAGGCCAAGGTTGGATCTGCGCAGTATGCCACCACCATTACCCGGGTAGATGCTGCAAAAGCAACCTCCAAAGTGGCTGAATTCCTTACAAATCCAGGACCAAAGCATATAGATGCAGTCGATCGCATCATACAGTATCTCTATGAGACACGCTTTTGGGCCATTGAATACGGCATCAGAACACCAAACAAACAACCTAGAAATCGAGATACGACCCTGACGATGGCGGCGAAATCAGTTGAATTTGCAAGCGATGCGTCGTTCGGAGACCATAAAGATCGAAAGAGCTCCGAAGGGTATATCTGCAAGTTATATGGTGGCCCAATCGATTGGAAGGCCACTAAGCAGAAGACTGTCACCACATCGACTACCGAGGCCGAACTACTAGCTTTAGCAGAGGCAGGAAAAACCGTACAGTGGTGGCGACGAGTGCTTAATGCACTAGGCTTCGAACCAGATCACCCACTATCCATCATGTGTGACAACCAGCAAACTGTCGATTTATTGACGAAGGAAGGGGCCGCGATGCATACGAAGCTCCGGCATGTTGACATCAATCGATGCTGGATGAAGCAAGAAGTTAGCGCAGGTCGAGTATATGTGGACTGGGTACCAACTGCTGCGATGCCAGCAGATGGGCTCACCAAAGCTCTGACGAAGCAGAAGCAGGGACACTTCAGAGAGTTGGTTGGAATGAGGGACGTAGGTCACATGATTCGTCACATGACCTCTGAGAACAGAGGCTGTTTTGCGGAAACTGCATAAATCGACGATTTGAGCCGAGATCAGTGAGGAGACAGGTGAGGTAAGTTGGAATCACTTGCGAATCATTTGCGAAGCGGTTGCGAAGCAGCTGCGAAACAGTTGGAAGAAAGGCAGTCCTTGAGAGCTTTGAATAGCTTCAAGAACTGGGGGGTGTGTCAAGTACTATGCATTTATGCATGCTGAAATTACCAGGTCTTTACAAACCGGGAAATCAATGGACCGTCATGATAACGGTACCATACAAAAATACATACATTGCTTAATCAGCTATGTCCGCCGAGATTGGAAAAGAGCGGATCTTGTCATTTTAGTTAGTTAGAGAATTTACATATGTCAGATTTACCATACATTGTCGTATCCGTCTATTTCTGTCATATGAACGTCATTGATCGACCTACCAACTATATTATATTACCCAGCTATATATTCTACCGCCCAAGTAGAAAACACACTGTTGGCAGAATATATCTAGGATGAACTCGTTTTGTTACAGGCAAAAGAGGCAAAAAATCAAAGATGATGATGATGATGATGATGAATTCATTTGCCCAATGTAGCTCGCTCTAGATATATGCTGTTATGCGGGAGTGCTGTCAGGCCTGCCAACGGAAGTGGTCCCAGCCCACTGAACGATTGATTCATGAAATTCGCAAAGCGATCCCATGATCATTCGCTCTAGAATGTAAAAGATGCAAAGAAAACACAGGAAATGCGCGGATGCAAACATGATAAACACAAAGAAAACCCAAAATGACCGTCAATTTACCCCTGGTTCCCCCTCCGGCATTTTGCCTAACCACATTCGCATAAATCTCACTCCATCTTCCTGGCAATCATTCAACCCGTCGGCTGCCGCTCGCGCGCTCGCTTGAATCAAGGGAGTACAGTGGACCTGGAACTATACTCCTACTGGGCTCCATCCTTCTTCGCCCGTCACACTGTCCTTAGGGGTCTTTCTCATCCCTTTCTTCCACTCCTAAAGCAGTTGGTGCGACTGCTTGAAATTGGCCACAATGGTGCGCGCCTCCGGTCGCGTCAGGAGCTCATCCAGACGAAAGGCGATTCCCTGATCAGAGTGCACATCTCATCCAGTCGCGCCCGTCCTGGTGCAACGGGCACTCTAGCAGGACGTGGGTCACCGTTTGGTTGCCAAGGTCGCAACCACACCGCGCTGACTCGCGTCGGTTAATACGGCTCAAGTATGCGCCCAGGCCGATTCGTCCGTAATAGAAGACAGGACTTATATATTCGTGATTATCTCATGAGACTCTCTCATACGTGTCAGTGCCACAAATTCAACCCTGAATTCCACATGATGAGGGGAAGAAACAGTGAGGCGGTTTATGCATGCAGTGCAGGGTAGTTTGCGACGTGTTAGCGAGTTTGTGGTCGTCAATAACGCGAGTCATGGCAAGCAGATTGTGAATGACCAAGCCATTACGTGTCATTCAGACCATGACCACATCACTGGAGCTGCTTCAAAGTTTGGAGATTATATTGCCAGGCTCTCGAGGAAATTAGCCCGAAAGAAAGAAGCTGCTGGAGGGGTCCAGACCACCACCGAATCGAAGGCCACTGCGGGGACCCGCCCTTCAGCTGATAAGCCAATGACACCAGCCCTCACTGGGACACGGTGGGTATCTGGCTGAGAACCGCGTGGGCATTGCCTCTAGACTATCTCAAGGCTGGGTTAAGCCTAGAATGATTGGACTAGGAGAGAAGTAGTACCAAGAGCCAGCTCATATGACGTGTAGCCTTCTGTGTCGCCTGTGCTCTTCAGCAGGCCCTACTGTGACTGATTCCCTCTCAAGAGGATTTTCCCATATGCTGAGCCCTCTCGAAAGGAGTCTCTTATTTTCTGCCTTCTATGTGATCCTTACTCCTGAAATGAGCTAGCTAAAAACAATCTGTTATCAACGTCCTTTATGTTACCATTTACAGGATACTCTACATAGCTCTATCATAGACACAAAAGCAGTCTTTCATCTCAGTACCACACCTATTAGATTCCTCTCAGGGTGTCATATATCTTGTCTGCAGTACGCTCTTATTTCAAGCCACATAGGTCTATTAAGGACCTGAAAGGAGTATCTCATGAGAACTTAGGATACCTTCCACCCTCTACCCGGTCTAATACTCGAGATGCCATCCCTAGGAGTTTCTTCTCCTTTACAACTCGACCCTCTGCCGCAAGCTTCTTCTCCTCATACTCGGAAACTATGAAGAAGGCGTTACTGCCATCAGCTGTCGCTGCACGGTAACATTGAGCTGGCCTCAGGTTGTGCAAATGCTTATCGTATAGGGAATAATTCTTCCATAAATACTTTTGCGCGACTCGTTCCAGCGGCGATGGATCTGACGGATCGACGCGGAGCCGGTCTGACCGTCTCCAGTCTCCTCGTTCAAGAGACCAGAGCTCGATCTCAATGTGCTTTTGAGGGGGCCGCTGCTCGACCGCCCTTGAGGGCATAATACCGGCCACGGAGGAATCTGGGACAGAGGTATCTTCAACAACTGGAGGAGTGGGGTGGGGATCTATCGCAGATCCTGGCGTTCCTGGGCGGAGAGGTTCTACCAACGCTTCGTGGGTGATGGCGTCTGGAGCAACTACGGCGTCCACTGTCGGAGTCCAGGGGTCAAAAACGGTGGTTTGTATTAATGGGTAAGAAACTGGTTTAAATACATGTGGGGCTCATGCCCTAGTGGCTATGCGCTGACACACCCCCTCAGCTTGCAGCCTTCAATCTATGTGCTCACCTATACAGTGTCCTTGTTTACTGTTATGGCGCATCATTATTTGACACTGCGAGCTGGAGAACTGCGTATAGCTAAAAACTGATCATCGGCTCCGAGGGCCATGCCGAGTATGCCTGTTGCGGAACTTCCTCCAAACCCTTGAACTCTGGAAGCACCTTCTTGATCTCAGCAAGGGTAGCTTCATCTAATTTCTCTCGAATGCGAGAGATAGTCGGCTGGTGTAGTTGGAAGCTTGGCGGTCGTATGGTTGGATTGAGGTAGAAGCACCGCTGGAAAGAGTGTAGCTTACCGCATACACACCGGTACGGTTGTGCTTCTGGATGCCCTTGCCATGTAGAAAAGGCACCTTTTGGTGCTTCGAGTGGGTGTCCTTGCTCTGTAGCTTGAAACTCTCGTTGTCCTTGGAAGATCCGGATTAACCGGGGTACTTCAATCTTGCGTGACTTGTTGAAAACCTCGTGATACCAGATATCACAAAAACCAGGAGCAATATGTTTAAGACAATGTAAAATATCGAAAATCACACTCTCTTGATGCTGAATCTCTGGAACGCCGGCTGCGTTACCCTCAATATATTGTTGGTGGACGTCGAGAAGCCATTTTTCTGCGGTATCGTGGGTAGCCCTAAACTCAAAAAGGCTACGCCACTTACGCCGTAGCGTCTGGATATGTGTTCGGTCCGACGCTTGGAATAGCTCGGAGAGGGTACGAAGTTGTTGGTACGGGGTGAGCTGGCCGAGAAGGTACGATTTATATTTCGGGTCTACCGTAGCCATGATTAATCCGGTAATCATCCGTCGTGCCTTGCTTTGTGACTCGTATTCCGACCGCTCTTGCTGGTAGATACCTCGAAGATCGCGAAGACGAGTGACTTCTTGATTGGTAAGGTCGTTTATAGATTGTGCATCTTGTCGTATCTCGGAGGGCATAGGTTTTAACGGTGGTGGAGGTCTCTCGGGTTCAACTGGTAGTTCTGGGTTGATCTGCTGCCAGATATCCGCCTCGAGGGCCATCGCCTTGATCTGTGATAGCCATGGTTTCCACTGCTCGTAGGATGTAAGCCTTCCTAAGGCGACCGCTAACGTGTTCTCCATGGTCGGGAATCAGGATTAGGCCTGGTCAGGGCCTAATTGTGCTTGCGAACCGGGCTCATAACTGTCGGAGTCCAGGGGTCAAAAACGGTGGTTTGTATTAATGGGTAAGAAACTGGTTTAAATACATGTGGGGCTCATGCCCTAGTGGCTATGCGCTGACATCCACGACATCACCGTGCGCGGGTTCCTCGGATCGGTACTGAAGGCGCAGTGGCGATGAATCCTGTCTGTCTTCTTGTGGAGAAGGCTTCTCGTTCCGTGGTTGCTCTAGTTCGCCGAGCTCCTGATGAAGCCGCTCATTTTCCAACCTCTCTTCTAATTGTTCCTGTTCTTCCTGAGCTCTTCTTAAACCAGCAAGAAATAACGCCCCCGAAAATCCTTGTCAAGAGTCCAGCCGACAGTTGAAGATGCTCCCGATGAGGACGAATTTGCTGCTGTCAATCCAATTGGCTCTGACGACATTAATTCGAGTGAACGATACTCATTGGAACCACAGCAACGAGCCGACTATGCTCCTATTGACTTGGCCATTGGTGATTCTATGAGGTTTTTGAGTGAAGACGAGAATCCGGTCGACTTTACCTCGAATCCCCAAGGTGGAATTTCCACATCTATTTTTCCTTCGCTTAATAATAATGGCCTGTCTGCGCTGCCCAAGAAGCTTTCAGATGCGTCTCACTTGCCCTTGTCAATTGGGGGGTTTCAGGCAAGCTCCAAGCGGAAGCTTTCCCTTGCTGTTGAATCTCAATCAGACCAATCCTCCAGGAACCTCAGGCCCCGCCTTGCCCCAGAACAATCAGAGGAGCCTGAGCAACCAGAGGAGCCTGAGCAACCAAATGTAGCAGTTGAAGATCGTGAACCGAATGAACCTGATATTCTAGAATCGGTTTATTCCCGACTAACTTTGCAACAGCTAACGGAAGTCCAGCGCACTTGCGAACGCCTTCATTCACACAACCTCGCTGCCTTTGTAGAAAAGTACTCCTGTACCTGGAAGGTCTCTGGTTTCTGGAGCGGCCCTTCCTGGAATGACTCAAGCTCCTCGAATTCCGCCCAAAAGCCCAATCGTGCCAGTCTTATGACCTATTTAATGCGCCTGCACAATGAGAATGACATGCATGATGTAAAGCTACGTGTTGCTCGATGTTCTCTGTTTCTGTTTTTTGTCAGAGAAATCGAGTGTGAACGTCAACGGGGCACAGCAGAGACTGCTCTGAAAAGGAATGTCGTCAGCACGCTTTGCAACTCGAGAGGCTTGACACCAGTCGAGAAAAGAAAACTCCACAAATCTTTCCACAATGAAAAGAAAATCGGTGAGTATTGGTGGTGGTGTGTGTACTACTTCGGCCCCAGTTTTCTTATTCGGTGCAGCAAAGAAGCAGGCAAAAAAATGTGAGAATTCTTTCAGTACAGTACCATCCCTGCTCAACTGACAGGTATTTAGAAACAATTCCCGTTTCCCGCTGGATGCTATGATTGCATACGCCCTGCATGGGAACCCTCCTGCCGCAAAGTCTTATCCCGCCCTTGATGAGGCCGTGGTCCATTTGCTGATCACAGGCAAGTTTTCCGACAAGTTCTCACTACAAGACGTCCAAAAGTGGGGGAAACCCCCGCCACAGAATCTATTGCGCTTAAGGCATGGCGACCTTTTAGTGCTGAAGCGGTCACTGAGGAGGCTCTCGCGAGCCTAAACAAATGGAAGGCCAACCCTGCAAATCACATGCTAACTTTCTAACCCATTCGCGAACTCTGTAGTTCCCTCTTCTGCTGAGTCATTTTGGCGTAGCGTTACCTACGTAAATGCTTAAAGGTCCTGGTGCTTTGTTGGTCAATAATAGGTTATTTAGCTGCTAAAGTATATGTTTCAATATGATCCCATTCCTACTCTTTGCTCGTCTTCCATGGCTCGATCTTCGTTTCCCGGTCATCCTAGTCAGTAAAGTAAAAATAGATTCTACTATTCGCCTAGCATGAAAGCCTTCAAAGTGCCAGGTAGGAGGTTGTAAGAACTAGTGAGCGGTAAGGTCCCGAATGCTTCCCAAACGTTGCGAGCGTAGAGCCGCACGCTGCGTTAGGATAGGACGACAACGGGACTTAGTGATCTCGCAGGTTCTGGGAGCTTGGGGGCCATCTCAAGGCTGCGGACCTCAAAAAGGTGGTTGCAGGCTGGAAAGCCATGCGTCAGTTTCGGCATTGCTTTAACAGAATGGGATCCTGTACATTATATTCGTGCCATTTGAAATGCAAAATTGGCGGGCGGTGAAATTGTGACCTAACGTTCAATAAACTAGCGATTTAAAGAGGGCGTGCAAAAGTGGTATTGAAGTACAGCAGGGCTAAAAGATTGGCTTCCTGAGAGCCATAAGGGGTAGAGTAAATCCAGGTTGGCCCGGGTTGGCAGTTGACATGTGATCGACAGACTGAGTGGGCCCTATGCCCCATTTTTAAGGCCTATCGCGCCTATGCTAAAGCGCTTCGTATTTTGACAGGGGTGGTCATGACGTTGTTTTGTCTGTAATTGCTTGACGGTTGATGGGCCCTTTCACCATCTTTGACCTGAGTTCCTTGATATGGATCCCGCATATTTTAACGCTGCGCTAATGTACAAGACAGAATGTGACAAATGTGATATGATACCGTCAACAGTGACCAACCAGGGCGAAAGAAACCGCCCAAAAAAGTGGTTAAACCCCGACCATGTCAGCAGCAAATGAAAGTTCCTTAGCGTCGGCCATTTTCCAATAGTGGCCAGCCAGCCTACCCCGCTACCCGCTCGTGCCTCTTGCCGTCTCATTTTGATTGTAACCTAAGAGAGGAAAAACCGCTTCACGGATAGCATCCATTTACGCAAAATTCGATATTTGCTCGTCCACAGGCCTCACAAATCGGTGCCGATTCTTATTAGAGGTAGATTTACGACTGATGAAATTTATATCGACAATTGGTTGAACTGCAAAGTTCGCTCGAGCCATGAGCTGCGTAATTCCACCAATCATCAAAGAAACGTGCGTTGGCTAGAATTTAGCGCGCATGTGATATATCAGCTAGGTGACGCGGAATGGATTTGCTCTTGAAAAGCTCCTCCTTTGTTATTCGCACCCACGACCACAACAAATACTAGCATCGTCGTCTATTTCACCAGTCACATATGACTGCCGCGATAGCAGGGGAGGTAGTGGGAACAGTTGAAGTCTCCGGCATTTCCTTCTGTCACTGAGTAAAAAGCAAACCTTAGAAAAGCTCGTAAATTCAGGGAAATACAATGTTAATTTATCCCCCGCACTTTACTTGTCCAATGTGCGGGATCTTTCTGCGCCATACAAAGAGATCACGAAAAAATCTCTTGCTCGGTCGCCGATTATAGTATTCAAGTCTAATCTCAAGTGGTCAAGTTCGTAAATTCTTCTTGAGGAAATAGGTGTTGTGGGCTCGTTGACGTTAATATGTGATGGACTCATCATTAGAGTTTTTTTGTCCGAACTATCACATTTTTGGATGAGATTCCACGTGCAACTATAAAATGACTCAGACGACTAGTATATGAAATCCTTAGACCTCAATTTGAACACTTTTCAATATTTAGAACTGCTGCTGGTTCTAAAGACCCGGTTTAGGCGGCCGATCCAAAGTCGAGAAAGGGTGATGAAGCACAAGCAGGTTAGGTTGTCTCCGTATCAATGGAAAAAATCGCTTTCGAGGGGTGCAACTCTGGGATACGAGTGCAGTTAGGTATCTACCAGACAATCTTTGCTATGAGCCCCTTTGATCAATAATATCACCGTACAAAGAATATCCGAAGCTAGCGGAATGGCAAAATCCAGGATCCGGGCAGCTCATTTGACTTCAAGATTTCTCCTTTGTGATGCTCAGCCTCGCTGTCTGATTTCGAAGCGCGCGCGCTAACCCCGGATGGGTGGTCAGAGCGTGGTTGCAGGTAGACCTGGCCAGGAACCACGGGTGAACCTCACGAACCTCAAGGAGGTTCACCCACCCGGAGGTTAAGGTTCCATGACCTAGAACCTCCGGGCGGTTCTATCTTGGACCGAACCTCATGGAGGTTACCCGCGGGTAAACCTGAGGTTCAACAAGCATGACAAATAGGTAAAAAACGTGACTTAGGGTCAACTACATAAATTATGTAGAAATAGGCTGTATTCTCTCGTAATTATAAAACAACACTTCATTAATGTATGCCCTTACAGGAGGATTTAGTGCATATTATGGGTTCACTGGCTCAGCGTCGAATTAGGGTTTCAACTTTCAATCATCAATGGTTTATATTATATCTATAGTTTAGTGTCGGGTTATAGTTCTCAAGAGTCAAGATTCAAGTAATCAAGCTATATACCCATCTAGTAGTCTCGACTTCTTCCTTATTCTACCGGATATACGATACTGCGTATCAGGGAAGTCAGGTAAGGGTAATGCCCTATTCTTATCTAGATCCGCAAATTTATCGGCATCAGATTCTTCCTTATCGTCAGAATTAACCGCAGGCCGCTTTCTAGCGGCGACTACTGAGAGTAGCGGTGCGTCCGGGGTTGCATCAAGATATATCTCGACATCCTCCTCATTATCACTAATAGCCTCGAAAGCATATGTCTAGACATCAAGTGCTTCGGTCGAAGCGGCTATCTTATAGTCTAAAAGATACTCTTAGAGAATCAGCCGCTGCTCCTCCTTGATATCGAATCTTATTATATACATATATAACATAATATCGCGAACAGTCTCTAGGTTTAACGACCCCCGGCGGTAGTGGCATATATCGCGGGCAGAGTTAAAAAGACGCTCAACTCCGGCACCAGTCGCTGGAATTGATATAATATCACGGGTAATACTTATAAGAATAGGGAATTCCCTCTAATAATCTTTCTAGAAGATCCGAATAGATCCTTTAATAGTTTCTAATTAGGTAAGGTTAGTTATATGATTTATAAAGTAGGCTTACTTACTTACCACTCTAGAGATATTTAGTAAGCTCGTCGTACTACGGAGCAGTTAATCGTTATAAAGAATCGCCGTCAAGAGCCTTCTTAAGCTCCGATTCAGTTGTGAATAACTAGCTATCAGATTGCATCATCTCTAATAGTATACGTTAGCTATATCTCTCAAAAAAAGACTGAAGACTCTCGCGGTATTCTTTTCTATAGTCCTTTCCTATCTTAGGATCTAGGTCCCAATCACTTATTAAAAAGAACTCCATCTTACTCGACGGCGCTAAGATCGTCCCAATTATATAGAGATTGCCTTCGATACCATCTATCTCGCCGTAGTATTTCTTCAGTTTCTCTTTCGTAGCATCGAGGGAGGAAAGTATTAGCTGTTTCTAGAGAACCTTCTTTCGACGAAGCTGACCTATTAATCTTTTAAGATGATCGAAGAGCTTATTGTAAATCCTAAAGACAAGGTAGATACTCGAGTCTTTAGTACGACAAACTAGCGTAGTAAGCGTAAAAAAGGGCTAAAGAATATAAAGTAAATAGTCAATCTATCGCCACCCCTCTACACTTAATATAAAATAGTATTGATTATAGTCGGAACAGAACTTATTAAATACAATATAAAGCCTCTTCGCCCGTCGGAGTATTAGAAATATCGAATTCCACCGTATACGAACATCTTAGATTAGAAGAAGCCGGAGCGTATTACTAGGCTGGGTATTTAGGAAGGCTTCCTTACGTTAAGGGCTTCCGTTAATATAAACCGTAAGACCTCGGACCTATTAGAAATCAGAATAGTTAGTATTATTAAATCATAATTCATGATTTCTAAATAGAAGCATACCTTATTCAGAGTATCGGCGATCTCATATTTCTGCTAGCGCGTACGAAGTAAACATATACGATCATCAGACTATTCTATCTCGGCGTTATCATTCTTTAGCGAAGCCTTAATTTTACCAAGTAAATCAACTAGACTTAATTGAATAACATACGTAAGGTAAGGCACTTAGACAATCGTAGAATCCGTCTCTATATATAGCTTCTTAATTAAATCATTCACTGCTACGATAAGTGTCTTATTGTTAGACGTATTATCAGTTGTCACCGCTAGCACTCGGTCAGCGATTTAGTGCTTTTGTAGGATCTAGATAACTACGTCCCCGAGGTTCACGCCAGTATAAGATCTAGAAATTGGCTCAAACCCAAGTAGGACCTCACGATACTCCCATTCCTAGTCTAGAAAGTATCCTATAATAGCCATAAATACGTGCTTGAATAGTGAAGTCCAGCAGTCAAGCGCAATCGACATTTTTGCACTAGATAGCAGCTATTATAGTGTCTCTTGTTAATACTCTATAACGAAACCCCGGAGGCGGTCGCGAATCACCTTTCTTGATAGAACGCTCGGTAGTATAGGTGCTAGCCGTACGTAGGAAATAAGATCATAGAATTCTTAGTACTCGACGAAGAGAAAGGGTAAATATAATACAGTGATTAGGTTTAGAATCTTCTATTCCTATGTTTATTAGGTAAAGAGAGGCGCTAGTCTTCTCTCGGCCTAAAATATAGTAAATTTATTATTAGTATTGATATTGAGTATAGGCTATTTCGAACATACCGCGTCGCTAAGTAGTTACTAGATATTACCCTTCTTCGTAATTCGCTGTCGATATCTTAGCCCATTAAGATACTTCTACATCGATAAGTTTCCAGTATGATTTATAACTAGATACTAGACCTTGCCA